GCTGCTTACAGGGTGTTTGCAAACAGGAACAGAGAGTACATTCATCAGAGAAATTACTCAGTTTGAATAATTTGTTCAGCTCAGAGCATGTTTACCTGCCTGTGAGGGGAATGGAGAAGTTTCATTGGCAAATGTTTGTATTGTGCTTTGAGACAGTTGTATGAAAGGGAAGTGTTCTTGTTGTTTCTGGGGTTATAATTCCTCCTGTAGTTTGTGTGAATGCCCCCTTTTTTCAGGATTGTATAAAGAAGGGGTGCAGTAGTTGCTTGCAACACGGGCATGTGGGGGAGGTCCCAGAAGAAGATGTCTTTACTCCCCAGGGCACCCTGGGTGGGTCTGCCCTGCCTGCAGAGCCAGCCCCTCACACCCACCCCTGGTCTGCAGGCACCCAGAGGGTGGAAGGAACTGGGCACAGACTGCCCTGGGGTGTTACGGACCCTGAGTATACCCAGGCAGAGTTGTCTCTGCTTCAGCTGATGCTGGATATGTCCTTTTAATCAAAAAGGCCTCAGTATTATATTTTAACTTAACCAAGTTTTGCAGAGTAAAGCATCTTGCATGAAAGCAGCGAAGCTGTGATTGCATCTGTTCTGTGCAACTCACTGGCTGCTCTGGGGAGGAACTGTAAGAAAACTGCAAGTAAATGTGCAGATGTGGAAAAGCACATACAGGTCTGAACTGGGCAGGAAAGTACTCTATAAATACCTTAAACAAACAGAGTGTCTCATTACTCAATATGTAGAGAGAATCCTTCTCAGTTACATCACCATTGATTTTTGGAAATGGATGAGTGTCACTGGGAGCAAAATTTGGCCCATACAACTAAGTAATAAATATCTTTTTTCAGGAAGTATATTTATAAACAAAGAGTGAGTCTTGTATCTTCAAGTTACATTTGCAAAGCTACTGCCTGAAAATTGGCATGGTTCCTTCCAGTCAAGGGATCTTGGAGACAGTTTTGCTGCATCACAAGCTGCAGTAGTATCTCTGAGGCTTTGAAAATGAGCACCAGTGTCTCTGCAAACAGGATACTATTTGTGAGTTCTAATTGGAACCAGTCATGTCTGAATGCTGCAGACTTTGAAATAAGGGGGCTAACTTAAGAAAGCTATTCAAGGTCTATCCACAGTGTTTCCCAGATACACAGGGGTGAAGAGCTTACTGAGATCAAGGCCCAGCGTGAGGTTCTGCTCTGAACTTGAACTGAATTGAACAAATTTTGTGTGTGTGTGTTGTTTTGAAGACATTTGGGTGCTTCAAATATCCTCCTTCCTCTCCTCCCTAGCTTGGCAGGAATTAGATGCAAAAATATTGTAAGGCAGGTTTTTGCAAAGGGGGAATTGAGTCACAGAGAAGCTGAATGCTATATATTTGAAGTCAGTGTTTGTCTTCACACTTAACAAAACTGGTGATTGGAAGAGGTATGGGGGAACGGGAGGGATGTTGGATCATCTTCTATAACCCTGTGATAGTTTTGCAGAAGCAACTGACCTGGCTGAGAATTTAATTTTAGCTTTTGCCACTTGGCTGGAAGCTCTAGCTAATACACTCAAATACACTCTTGTATTTTGGTGCAGTCTGTCTCTTTAAAAGCTTCCTTAAAGCCAATTGGCATTGAAAAGAGTTTTCTCTGGAAGTAGGTGGGTAGTTGTTGGTCACCTGTCCTCTTCGTTGCACAAATGTGATTGTCTCTCAAATTCCTTTTAAAAGGGTTACCAGCACTGCTTTGGCTGCAGTCACGGGGTCCTTGAGGATTGAGATGAGGAAAATCCTGTTAACTGTGTACTCCATACTCTTGGTGAGCACAGGCTGGCCTCTTCCAAAAGCTGTCCCTGTTGGCAGCCTGGGTGGCCCTCACCGCCCTGGTGGGTGCTCTCTCTGGCAGCTCTGTTGTTGCAGTGCTCAGAACCCAGGCACAGTATTCCACAGCTCTGTGTGCAGGATTTGCCAGGATCTCATCTCCGCTGCAGAATTATTCTGCAATCTCACTTCTGCTTTTAAAAATTTACTTTCTAGCACTCAGGGCTGCAGGAGAAGTCTGCAAACTGTGACCGGAGTGTAAACCAATGCCGTGCTGGCTCCCCGAGCTTACAAGGGCTGGGGAACATTTGCTCAGAGTCCTTGGAACTGCTTCATACCCTTCAATCAAAGTCCTGTGGGTTTGGGGCATGGGCTGTGTCACTTCAGCATTGTTCTAGAATTTGTGGTTCTGACACAGGAGGGAAGGGGAAGCTGTTTTTGTCTTGTTGAGGGGTTTGCTTTCAGTAGCTTCTTGGGAGAAGGTCTTGGGAGGATTATGTGCTTCTTGAAGTACTGCCTAGAAAACTTGGATCAACAAAGATTCAGAGACTTGGGAATTTTTCATCTTGCACCTAAGAAATGGAAGTTTTGTGACCATATCTCTCCAGCAGAATGCAAACCTTGCACGTTGAGCTGAGCTGGTGTTACAGAGAGCAGGGCTGCCTGGGAACCTGCCAGGAGGTGAAGGAAAAACTCATGGAACCAAGGTGTGTTTTGAGGGGAGAGACTTGTGTCTCTATGAACAGGAGGTGAGGTATGAAAGGATGAGGTAGCAGAGATTATTTCTGGGAGGCAGGAATTGGTATTAAATTATTAAATTGATTATTAAAGAGAAAACAATTCAACAACCTCCCCCCTCAAAAAAAAAAACCCAAACCAAAACAACAACAACAAAAGGCTAAAGAAAAATGAGAAAGAACACCAGAATTTATCTTGCTGAATGTATGGATCTGCTGTAATAATTTCCAATAGACAGAAGGTGGTTTTTGATGGAGTTGCCCTATGCAAAATTAGACTAGCAGGGACTTGTTATTAAGATGGGAAAACCTGGCCCAAGGATAGAGTCTGGCTTGGGCTGTCTGGTGTTGACGTTTCTCTGCAATGTAAACTTGAGAGTTTTCTCAGCTGGATATGTCTTGTTTGCCCTCCATTCTTTACAGATTTTCTCTAAATTGGGGTTGGAGTGAATTAGTACAAAATATTTAAAATCTGAAATCTTATGTGATAGTGAATGTTGTTTTGTCATGACACAGTGGTACATGGAAATTCTCAAAATTAGAATGAATGGAAGAGCAGATGGGCTCTGATCAGGAAAACCATAAATTGTAATTCTCTTGGTGTGTATTATCTTGTGGTTTGCTTTAGTCTTCATTTAGACCAGCTTTAGAAAGTTAATATCAACCGTTAAACCTTTTAAGCTATCTCCCCCCCTCTTTTTTTTTTCTGTTTTAGAAATGAATAAAAGAGCTTTGTACAGTTCTTGAAACTGAGCCTGAAACAGCTCTGAACAAAATATAGTGTTCCTTTCAAAATCTTGGAAATAATTACATCATAGGCAAATTGGGCCAGAAACCGTTAATAGTATTCTTTGTGGAATGAAATCCCATGGGAGGACCTATTTCAGCAAACTGGCATTGTTTACAAATAGATGCAGTGGCAGATACAGTTGTCCCATTCTGAGGGACAGCTGAGACTGTGCCCCATAATGGACTTCACAGAGGAACCGTCTTGCTTTTGATAACGGGCCGAAAACGTGCCTTGGTGCTTCTGTGGTCGGCCTCACGCCGGCGGTCTTGGGAGTGGAGCCTGATTTTGGCACTGGAAAACTGTTTGTAGGTGGGTTAAAGAGCAAATAAAAGCCTCTCTTGCATGAGCTCCTGGTCTGTGAGAATTGCTGCAGACGTGTCCAGGTGTCTCTGCTGGGCTTCAGAGGCTGAGAATTCCATCACCCATCTCTGTGCAGAAGTACCTGGACATCATGGGCTGTCCCTTCCCCAGGATAACACACACAGCACCAGTGGTTCCCCCTGTTACCTTACAGTGGTTTTCATCACTGGCTGTTACCCCCCCTCCTTCCTTACTAGAAAACCTTCTGCATTTCAGGATGGAAATCACAAAGATTAGTAATATTAACTGTTTGACCTAAATCTACAAAAGCACTTAGTTCTCTAGGTAAATAGGCTAGTCTGTACATGAAAACTAGATTGGCACAAGCCCTAGCCTGGGCACGGGTATAGCTGTCCTGGGTGATATAAAGCACATTACTGCCTCCATCTGTGCTTCCATAGGAGGATGGGCTGTGTCCCTCCATTGCCAGAGCAGCTCTTTACCTGGACACTTGGGCTGTGTGGGTAGAGCCCTGTCGTGGGGACCAGGTACATGCTGAGGACTATGGTTCTCTGTGAAGGATCTCTTGTGCTTTCCCAGTTGGTGTGGTCCTCTCTGACATCTGCCTCCAGTTCATGACTCCATTAGTTGGGAGTGTGTAATCTTTTCCACTCTCCTGTGCCTGAAGGCAAAGCTCCAGGGAGCAATGCCTGGTGGGTGGCTTGCCTGTGGTTCAGTGTGCGGGTGGAGGTGAGCACCTCCCGTGGGAACAGAGCCGTGTGGTAGCAGGACAGAATGAGGCTTGGGTTGTTTTCAGGATATGAACATTTTCCAGCTTAAGTTTTGATTGATTTTAAGGTAAGCACATACTCACTTTTATGTGCAAGAAAGTTTTTTTAATTTGTACTTCTGGATGAGTTTCCTTGGAGAAGACCATTCCTTTTGAAGCCCTAAGCTCTCCAAACATAGCAGGGAGGGAACAGAATTCTTAGTGCTTGTTACCCATATCCCTTCAATATGCAGCTTGTTTCTTGCCTCATAAAAATGATTGACTACAATGCCAGGTAGTTTCAGTAAATCATTTAAATTTTACTTTGGAAGTCCGTTTTAGAAGACAATTTGGATTGTTAACAACTACAGGGGAAAAGTTATAAGCAAATACTTAAAAAGCCTGTGACAGGGATAATACAGTGTTTTTTAGGAATTGACCACTGAATTTATTTACAGTTACCAGCAGTAATTTTATTCAGACCAAACCTCTAACAGAGAGGTTTTCTTATTCCACCAGAAGGCTTTTCTCACCCTCTCTCCTCCCCAGACTACCGGCCTTGGCGTCCTCCCTTCACAAGCATGTTGTGTGTTGTGCTTTGCAGGAGGCTGTGAGGGCTGCTGAAGATGTCCGATAGTCTGGATATTGAAGAGAAACCTCCAGCCCCACCGTTGAGAATGAACAGCAACAACCGCGACTCTTCAGCACTGAACCACAGCTCCAAACCGCTTCCCATGGCCCCTGAGGAGAAGAACAAGAAAGCCAGGCTGCGCTCCATCTTCCCAGGAGGAGGGGATAAAAGTAAAGTATCAGCAGTGCAGATGGGTGGCTCCATGGCTGTGCTTACTGGTGGTTGTTGGTTGCCGTGTTTACTTTCTGCCGCTGTTTTTCTGTTTCAGTTGCAGACCCTGGTACCAAAGCCTTCTGTTCCAATTACTCTAGGAACACGTTTCAAGAGAGGAGGAGGTGTTCAGTCAGTTACGTTCTTGTCTCCGAAAAGCCACTGAAATGTGCCCACATTGTGCAACTTGCCTTTTAAAAATAGCTTTATAGTTAAGCTGGGGAATCCTTTCCTTTGAATTTGGCTTTGCATTAGCAGTAAAAACAGATGAGGTTTGTGTACTTTTGGAAATACATTCGCAGAAGTGAGAGGGCAGTGTGCCTGACACTTTGAGGGGTTTTTTTAGAGGACTTACATTCCAGGAAGAGGAGCAAGGCTCTTTTTTCTTGTTGCTTTTAGAGTCAGAGTGGACACAGAACAGCTTGGTTTAAAATGTGCTAGGTGTGATTACAGCAAGGGAGTCTTTTAAGCATACAGCAAACAGCATTTCAGTTGCATTCTTTGAAATGCATTGGCAGAAAGGAGGTGCTTTCTTTGAGGTAGTGTATTGACAGAATTAAGAGAAGGGATATTCTTTTTTCCAGTCCAATGGGAACTGATGGGCTGCACCCACAAATGCTGAAGGAGCTGCCTGATGTCGCTGCAAGGCCACTCTTACTATCTTTGAAAGGTTGGGGTGACGGGGGATGTTCTTGATGGCAGAAACAAGGCAAATATCACATCTGCCTTTAAGAAGGAGGATCTGTCGATCTGCAGACCAGTCAGCCTCACCTCGGTCCTTGGGAAAGTAGTAGAGCAAATTCTCCTGGAAACCATTTCCACACAAATGAAGGATAAGAATGCAATCAGGAATAGTCAGCACAGATTTACAGAGAAGAATTCATGTTGAGCTATACTGACAGCCTTTTACCTTGAGATGACAGGCTTGGTGGTGAAGGCAGAGCAGTGGTTGTTACTTCTGCTTTAGTAAGGTGTTCAGCAGAGCCTCCCACAGCACCCTCACAGACAAAATGTCTAGATAAGTGTACAGTGAGGTGGACTGAAAACTGCCTGAAATGCTGAGCTCAGAGGTTGTGGTCAGCAGCATGAAATCCAGATGGATTTCAAAAGGAATTGCTGCCTTCAGTGTGCATCTCTGTCCCTTCAAGGAGAGCTCAGAACTGTGGAGCTGTGGTCATTCCCATGGAACTCCAGCTCACGTGTGCTGCTTGGTTGCTGTGTTTGTGAGCCTTTCCCACAGGTTGTTGTGGAGCAGCTGGAGCAGCCTGGCATTCAGAACTCCTCACAGGCAGCAGAAGGCACAGTGTCAGCCCCATTCCTGCCCTCAGCCTCAGGCAGACCTGGGCGGTTCACTCTGCAATGTGCTCCCCCAAATGTCCCCTTCTGAGAACAAAATTAATTTTCCATTGATTCTTTTTAAAGGTCAAAATGAAAATCTCTCCCGGCTTTTTTAATACCTGGAAAGACTTGGGTCACTTCTTCCCCTGAGTGCTAGCAGAATGGTATTATCCTTCTCTGAGGGAGCATTTCTTAAATAGGAGGTACTGTGTGAAATGCATGCAGAGAAGGGGAGATCCAGAAAAAATCCCTCCTGGAAATGATCACTGGCATTAAAAATGTAATTAACTACCAGTCAGAGCAGTCTTAGGAAACACACAAGTGTCGTGATTTTAAATGTGACTGTGAGGAAAAGTAAGGTAAGATTTATAGCTTAATTTTGTTGGGTGAAATAATAAATGGAGGAAGTTTAGCTTGACTGGCCAAGCCCCTTGAGGTGGTTTCATTGCAGGGTTGGTTTGTGGGTCACAGTATCAGCTGGTCTGTGCGTGCTTCACAGACTCTGTGACACGTTTTTGAGAGCCCTGCTTATAAAACAGAAGGTCACTGATACGGCTGCTCTCATCTAGGGCAGTGCTTTGCAGCATCACAGCGTTGTATTAATAGTTCACCACCGGTAGAAGTAAACAGAACATGAAGAAAGGAAACACCGTGGCAGGGTGTTTCTGCCTGAACCTGCAGGGACTTTGTTGTCTTTGCTTTGCTCACCAGCCAGGAGGGATGTGAGGATGGATGTGGTACGGTGTGTTCCCTCCAAGGTGGTTGTGTGCCAGGACTGCTGTGCCTGGACAACAGGAATCTTTGCAGTCACTCCCCTGCTGGACTGCAGCATTTTCAGTTTGTGTTTGAACACCTATTTTGGCAAGCCACTGGTGGCTCTGTGGGGCCCTTCTGTGCATCTACAGCTGAAATAAATGAATACTCTGTGTGCACTGGTGGCTCCATGAAGACTTAAAAAAATCAGAGGGAAGCTGGCCCACACAGCTCAGGTGCCTCTTTCATCTGCAGAGGTCCATCTGTGTTACTGGGTGAATGGTATCAATGCAATTGAAGCTGCTTTAGGCTTCGTTGCAGGTGGGTGCAGAGTGTGGCCTTGAGGCATCTGGTTGCCCCCTGTACAGAAAAACAGGAAAAGAGAGAAGGAGGAATACCCAGCAGGGTAAAGATTAATGGAAGAGAAAGAAAATGACAAGGCTGCTGGGGTGGGACAGGAGGAGCAGAGCAGGGAGGAGAATGAGAGGATGGCAGGAGTGAGAATGGAAGGATGAGGGGTGGAGGAAAGAAGAGAATGAGCTGAAGAGGAGGTGAGTGAACAGGAGAGCGTAAGCATCAAACCCTTCCTCTGTCTCTGGAGAAAAGCTGCCACTTAGCTGAGTCACATTTTTCTCCCAAACAACCGCTCTTTTAACATAATGGGGATGATGATGGTGATGCAGACCGTGGGAGACAGAACAGTCTTTCCTTGTTCTATTTTCATCTGTAATAGGTGCTGAGGTGGTGTGGAGGCCTTCCTGGCTAAGTACTGTGCAGCAGGAGGGTATTGTGAGAGGCATTTGCAAGGAAATCAAATAGCATGTCCAGTACAAACCCCTTGAATCCACTCAGTCAATGCTTCCAAGAAGTCATGCCTTTTTGTATCATTTTGCCAGTGTGTATGAAATAAAAGTGATTTGATTTGCAGGGCCCAGACAGAAGTGTCAGAGTTTTTAGACTGGGCAGAGGTGAGGGTGTTGTAAAGAGATGCTTAATTCTGCATTTCATTTATAGTTTATCAGCATTTGGAGCATAGGTGTTGTATCACAGTCTGGTAGGCAGAGGTCCACGAAGTAGATGAGCCATATCTTGGGGAATGAACACTTGTCCTCCAGCAGGAGAGTCCTGGAATGGACAAGTGCTGCTTCAGATGGAATGTTTTCTGTAATCCCTTATTTCGCTTCTAGATTTGACTGTTGCTGTGAACTGAAGTTGATAAGTCTTTAAATCTAATTTTCACTGCATTTGCTTGCAAATGATGAGGTAGTAGAAGTCGGTTTTGCTATCTGCATAGAGATGACATCTAACTGGCAACATCTGCCCTGAAAATTAAACATCATCTTAGCAATAAAAGAAGGGGAAAGGCCTTTGCATTTGTGTTTGAGATATTGCTGCCATCTCTACTGAATGATAAATGAAAATATTTCATCAATGAGCATTGGGTGGGGGTGTGCAGCACAGAGAAAGGTGACAATTATTTAAGGAGGATAAATGCAGCAATACAGAGAAAGTACTAGAAACATTCCAAGTACTCTGGATGAAGAGCAGAGCATCTTCCACCTAAAGGAGGCTGTAAGGCAGAATAAGAAAGATGTGCAAAGACAGGCCTTGTGGGGGTACTGCCTGTGAGCAAGGACAGACCCAGGCTGGGAGGGTGCTGATACACAGTGAGTTCAGCCTTTGGATGAGACCCCTGGGTGAACTTACAGAGCTGGCAGATATAATACTGAAACACTGAAGGAAAGTAAAGGCAGCTTCTCTCAGCCTTTATTCCACTCATTCTTTATCAGGGTCAGTAAAACTGGGCTGAAGTGACACTTGTCAGCTGTCAGAAGCGCAGGAGATGGATGACCACGTTACTTTCAAGAGGTGGTAGAGGGCGAGAGAGATGAGAAGCATATGCAGGCTGACTTGACTTCCAGGCCTGTCTGCTTCAGTAAGACACTCCACACTCTGGGAGTACTGGTGGAATGATATGAAAGCAACGAATTTCTGGAGACTCATAAAGCCTTCATTTCATGATTATATGTCTTAGTTAATTGAGAGCTCAAATGAAGCTTTTCCAGCAGCATTTGTGGGATCGTGTTGCTGTGCAGATTCTGTGTTTTCTAATGAAGAGCTGCTGCTTCAGCCTTTTACTTGGCAGAGGAGTCACCTCCTGAGCTGCCAGTTTTCACAGAACCTCTAGGAACCCGGTTGTCTTAAAAACCTCTCCTCTCTAATTTGGCTGGTTTTGAAACGTGTTCAAGCCACGTCGGAGAAAAAAAGATCCACACACACGTGATTGCTGTGTGATTTACTTCCACAGAAACCCACAGACTGAAGTTAACAAACAGGAGTTAGTTGCTAGATAGGAAAACTCAGCGAAAAGAAGAACTGATAATACAAATCCTACTGGTTAGTGATAGCCTAAGAAGGCTGCTTCATGAGCAGCTTGCTTTGGCAGCAGTTACACTGGCTGAAAGAAAACCAAAATGAAATAACACCTTCTAGACCTTCCCCAACAGGAGTTGACGGGACGGTGTTGTATTAGCTTGGATCTGTTTGTCAAGTCAGATGGATGTTAATTGATTTGTTTTCCACTTTTAAAATACTGTTTTGGGCACGCTGATTGTGAGAAGTTTTAAATGAAAAGCTGTACAGAAAATAAGTGCTTGTTAACGTTTTGCCTCTAGCCAACAAGAAGAAAGAGAAAGAACGTCCTGAGATCTCTCTTCCTTCAGACTTTGAACATACCATTCATGTGGGATTTGATGCCGTCACTGGAGAATTCACAGTAAGTAACTGCTGTATTTCGTACTTACCAGAGCTTCTGGTTTCTTGCTGGTAAAATAACCTCCTATTGCCAGAAACATCAGATGACAGCACCCAGGCTGTGAAGAAGGAGACTTTTCTTTGTTGGGCTTAGGATTTGGAGTGTTTAACTTGTGATTCAGGCTGCTTTTTTTTTTTTCCCTCCAAGGATTGTCAGCAGAGTGTCTGTGGAAAATGAAAACTAGGAAGGACGTAGGTGTATGCTTTTATCAGTCCCCCAAGCTGCTACAAGGGTTGGTTTTTCAGTGTCTTTGGAAAAGCATAAAAAGCCCCCACACACGTGCATGGTAGACAACCAGCCTCAAAGTGCAAAGTCCACGTGCTCTGCAGGCAGCCCTTGGAGATACCCAGAAAGCAGCAGCGTTGTGGAAGTCCGTTCACTGGAATTTAATTTCTTCAAAATATGTTGACACGTGAGATGATCAGACACGTTTGTAGGCTTTGTGTATTTAATGAAATAGCTGTCAGCTTTTGCTGCTTGTATCTCGACAAAGTGCATGAAGTGTTGGGAAGAATGAGCCTGACAGAAGCTCCCTGAAGTGTGCAGGGGGCTTATCTACTAGTTAGGTGCAGAACTCATTAATCCTTAAAGCTGAGATGGCAGTGAGCTGACATTTGGTTGAGCTGTGGAGGTCAGAGGGAGCATCAGCAACTCTCTGTGCCACCTGTAGTGCCCTGTGAGCTGAGTGGTCAGACTGTGCAATCACCCTATGTCAAACTGTGAATGAAGTGAGGTAGTGCTGACTGGCTGCATACACCAAACAGGATGGGACAAATCATTTACCTGGAAAAAGGATGGCCAATTTTCAGAATTTGAACCCTAAACGTGATTTTTTCAATGATTTTTTTCCTTTGATTGCCGCTTTTTTTTTTTTTTTCACAAAGACATTTCAGAAAGCTGGAAACTTTCTGTGTCCTTTGGTAGGAGCAGCAGCAGTAATAATAACAGTAGAAGAGAAAAAGGCATTTAATGACAGCATGTCTTCAAAGGAGTAGTGAAATTGAATTATCCTTAGTAATTAGGAAATACAGCTACGTTTAAAATAAGTGAACTAGTTAATTAGCCTTTTTAAAATAGATGTCATATATAAAATCTTACTTCAAAATTTATTCTGTGCCAAACCCTAGGGCTTGACTAAATGCTCATTTAAAAAGCCCAGATGTGGCCATTTTTGATCAGAAACTTAGCATAAAGCTTTTAAAACTCTGTTTTCCATGCTGTCTATCCTGGCTTTTCCTTTTTTTCCTCTCTTTCTCTCCCTGTAGCCACTTTATTGTTCAGGTTAATCTCCTGTGCCATTCTCCTTGCATTTGTATCATATGTTATGTTATTTTCTGCTTTTATTTTCTCCCTTTTGTGTTTGCATCACTTCTGCCTGTCCATCTTTGCCTTTCCACCTTCCCTTCTCTCCCCACTAAATGTTCAGCTGTTCCTACTCTATATCTGTTCTTCCTTCCAACCTTCTCACTTTATTTCTACCCTGTGCTTCAGGCCTTTTCCTTCTGGCTCTGTGCAAACACGACGGGTCACAGTTGTGTTTCCCATAATCTGACTCGTGGTGAGGGTCCCAGTTGGTTCATGTCGCTGCCAGCTGGAACAAAAAGGAGGGATGTCAAGCTTAACACGCTTAGGTTCTAAGCACAAACACTCTCTATCAGTATTTCAGGGTTTGGATCATTTTGAATGTTGTTGTTGTTATCATCCCGTGTGTCAAAACACGATGATAGCATCAGAGCTTTTTGCTTCTTTATTTTTTTAATTTGTGTCAGATGCCACCAACACAGGCCCTGGCCTTTTATAGAGCACAGCAGTTCTTCATGGCTAAATATACCCAGCTTTGTTGCTGTAGCACGGTTCCTTTCTAATACCTTTTCCCCTTTCCAAACAGTGGAGAATCAGATGGCTGCTATTTTGCAACTGCACAATATTTCTGCAGTAGCACTTGTTCCTGAAGTGTGGAAGTGCAAGTGCTGCAGTCTGGGAGGGTTCTAACCAATTCAAAACTAACCAAAGGGACTGGTGACTTCCCCTGTGCAGCTTGCCAGCACAGGGCTTATGCTGCAGTCCTTAGTGCAGTCAAATATCAGTGAAAGCAAGGGAGTTTTTGCATTATTAAGAACTAGCTGTCAGTCCCAGCTAATCCCAGATGCTGGCATTATGTTCCACATCACATTAGGCTTGTTTGATTTGTCCCAACCTGGATAGAACCTGTGTATCAGCTGGGTAGTCATGTGGTAAGTAGGTCCTGCTGAAGGGACTTCACTAGCCATGTCATGTGCAAATATTCCCACTGTCTAGTGGTCACTCTGTCTGTCTCTTTCAAAAGTTTGGAAGTGCCATGGAAGCGTTTGATAGATGTGCAAATACACGGGGTGGGGTTTTTTGTTTGTTTCTGATTACTGCAGCTGTCATGCCAGTCGTGCCTGCTCTCCTGGTTATGTGCGACCCATTGGGCCATTCTCTGACACCGAACCATCACCCCCAGCTGCATCCCCTGACTGTTGGTAGTTGCATCCCAGTGCACAGTTGCATGGGCTCCTGAGTTCTGGCTTTCAGGCTTGAGCACCAAGCTGTGCCCTCCATCATGAACAGATGTTATGTCTCCATTTCACTGTCTGTGCTTGGAGCAACCACATTTGCTAAGAAGTAGGGCTATTGAAGCAGAGAACAAAATTGGTTGGAAACTGTTGGGTGGGGAGCATGCTGCTAGAGCTTTATGTTCCTTTATTTGAAGAAACAGTTGCATTTTCTGAATGGAGGACAGAGTGTGGTTAGCAGGGCTTTGGGGAGTGTTCTTTGTAAGGCATGCACGTTTGAAGCTGTTTCCTCATCCCCAATCCAGAAGAAAAAGTGGTCACCCACCAAACTTTTAAAGCTTCAGGATTATGACATTAGTAAGTGGGAAAAGTTATGGCTGTAGATCCAAAGAAATTGCACATTCCTAATCTAACCAAGCATTTCTTCACAAGATTTTCAGTCTGATACATAAAGATTATTTGAGTTGTGGCCATACACAACCTCCCAGATTTCACAATCTGACTGGCTGCTCTCTCCACATCACTTTGGGGACTCATGCACTGGCCAATGGTGATCTCAGGGCTGCAGAACCCCCAAGCTTGGAAAAAACTTGTATAGAGCCATTCAGAAGTGTTAACCTGGCTTCAAAACCAGGCAAACAGCAAAAGGCCAGATAGTTTTGGTTTGTTTTTTTTAATTAGGACAGGAAATCACAAGTAATTTTTCAAGTAATTTTTCCAGTCACTTGCCATTAATTCTCAGGAATGTATTTTTATGAGGAAGAGAAAAACTGGTTTAAAAGCAAGAGGAGGGGGAATGATGCTTCCAAACTTTGGAATGGTTGTGGTTTTTCTGTTTTCCTAAGCCTGCCTTCCTGTAGCCTGTCCACCACCAGAACTATTTGGTGTCCGCCTCGTAACTCCCATTTTAGATGGGAGTTTGCCCACTTTGGCCCATTGGTTTCCTCCTCCTACCACCTTCTGAGTTGTCCCACATTCTGTTTTAACTTTCTTTTCTTTCTTTATTTACGTCCATTGCAGCCAGATCTCTATGGCTCACAGATGTGCCCAGGGAAGCTCCCAGAGGTGCGTCACAGGCCCCAAATGCTTCTTTGAGATGTCATAGCACTGCAGCAGCAGGTTGATGTGTGTGCAGTAGATTTGTTGCTTGGCTTTTCCCACTCTTTTTCTCATCAATCCTAAACTTTGGAGGCCCATGTCACACATTGTTTTGTGGAGAACTTCTGAGGAAGAAGCTGTATGAAAGCAGATCGGGGTGGCACTGAGGCTAAGGTGTCGTTTTTCTTCAGTGAGCCCTACAATTCACTGGTTGCTGTCAGCTGTGCAGTACAGGGGGGAAATGACAGGCTGTCAAATTTAGGGAATTATCCTGGATAACTAAAGCAAGCTTTCATAAATAGAATTTCAGTGTAGAGCTGCGGCTTTCAGTGATTGGATCAATTTTCAAATGCCACCCTCACCCATAAGATGTCCAAGAATTCATCCAAGGCTTTGGCACTCTCAGCCTGTTTTCTGAGTCCCTGGTTTCTGTATGTTTGCAGTAGAGAACTTAGAGGCATCCTTTGCAGCAGTGGGACACCTCAGTGTCATGCTTTTGAGAGCTGAAAGACAGATTCCTTACCCCGCAGTGTTCCCTGGTATGCTGGAAATTAACTGTATCAGGGTGGGGTTCACCTTCTAATCAGACAGCAGTGATCATTTCAGCAAAATGTGTTTGCATTCCTAAGCATGAAAAGTCCAGTGTAAAGCTCCTAAAAGACACTGTGTTGTCCACCAGTAGAGAATAATTGTCTTGTTATGTCTGCACTGAATCACCAGGCAAACAAGCTAAGCCTTAAATCATTATTCCATGGAAGAGCAGAGTTGATTTCCAGAGGAGTTTCATGCACTTTTTTTCCTCTCACAGTCATTACTTTCTTTTCTTTTTCAAAGTCGGGTCCTGGTTTTAGCTAGATGTTGATAGAGAAGAGAATGATTGCATCTAATTTTAATTGTGAGGTGTCAGTCAAAATTCCTGCAAGTAAATTTGTGCTGCAGGGAGCATGGGATCTTGGTAAAGATCTGCGAGGCTGCGGATTTTAAATACTCTAAACCCACTTTCTTTCCACTTGACAACTACAGGGCATTCCAGAGCAGTGGGCCAGGCTACTACAGACCTCCAACATAACAAAACTGGAGCAGAAGAAGAACCCACAGGCTGTTCTAGATGTTCTCAAATTTTATGATTCCAAAGAAACAGTTAACAACCAGAAATACATGAGCTTTACGTCAGGAGGTAAGTTGACATCTCCCTATGAAAAAGGAAGATCAGGCTTCAAAATGAGTCAGAGCAAAATTCAACATTCAAGTTGTCAAGAAGGAACCTGAACCAACTCCATGTTGGGGAATTCTCCTAAAATGAATTCCTTATCTCCTCAGAATGTCATTGAAACGTTGAAACGGTGACTTTTTTTTTGTAGCTGTTTTTTAGAACTAACCAAGATTTTGAAACAAAAATGCCATTAAGATACCATTAGTTTGATAGAGCTCCTGTCAACAACTTCAGCTCAAAAGGAGGTGTCTGTAGCCAGTGGGGTCTGGGCAGCTTTTGGAATGTGACCTGCAGGGGTTCCATTCCCTCCACGGGATCGTCTGTGGCACTGGAGCTGTCATTCCTTAGTTTGATGGTTCAACCAAGACAACTTCCAAAATGCAGACTAGGAAAGCTTCTCAGAAGTCCTTTTGAAAACTGCACTTATCTCCAGAATTTTTGCAAATTCCCTGATTAAAGGATTTGACTACCTTTGCACTTACTGTGCACTAAAATAGTGATTCCCTTTATGATGAAATGCACACTTCAAAACAGTTTGTGTTCCTGAGCACAGGAGCTGTTCCTGTGTTGTCAGAATAGAACTGCCATGGTTAAGGGGGATTTTGGGGAAGCCTTTTGGGGGAAACATTGTCACATGCTAATTAGAATGAATGCATGCAATTTATTTAAAAAAATAAAACACAGGAAAGAGGGGAGAAAAAGCTGCTTTAGCTCTCAGGTGGAACAGAAGCATTGATTGTTAAAGAACAATTTTCATTTTTTTGCCCAAATTTCTATTTAGTTTGTTTACTGGCAAACAGGGCAAAATTAGACACAATCTGGAATTTTGTCCTGTTCTCTTCCTTGCTGTGTAAAAGAACTGTGGCTCCTGGAGGGGTGGTGTTGACTTTGACTTGTTCTGTGGGATTCCCCACAACAGGCAGGTTTTTTTCCTAACAGCATCTGGTTCATTTTCCCTTGCTCATTGCAGATAAAAGCGCCCATGGATACATAGAAGCCCATCCTTCGGTGAGTGGGAAAGTAACCTTTGATGCCCCTGGTGTTTAAGGATTATGGAGAAAGCCATGGGCTTTCCTTGGCTGTTTTTTCATTCTGTTTAAGAGCTTTGAAACAAGTGAAAGTCTTATTTTGCAGACAGAAGATTGATTGCTGGTTTTAGCCGTGATGGAATATATAATTCACAACAGTATGCAGTGCTGTCTAATGAGCACATTTTAATTTAGTTTTAACAACTTAGAATCCCATTTCTATCAAATTTCATGATTTCTCCTTAGTACAGCTGGATATATAGCTGAATATAAATCAGATTATAATTGATATGTAACTCACTGGAACCATTGAAAGAAAGTTTTAAATAACCATCCACTCTAATTAATGCTGAATTGCAGGAGCATTCCCAGAGATGTAGAAATGACATCCACATTAATAGTGACCAAATTTATTAGGGTTATTGTTAGTGCATTAAATAGCAAGTGACTGAATGGGGATTTGGCTTTTATTTTTAAGTGTTAAGCAACTTCGTGTGAGGTTTGTGATTACACAGCAGACTGTGCATAATGAAATGAAAATTATCTTTGAATATTCACGCTTCAGATTTTCAGTCGATGGCACTTCCCTTATCTTATAAGACCCACTTTTCAGAGGAAGTGTGGTGTTCACCAGAGCACAGTAAGCCTTGCAGGGACACCTTGGCAGATGCTGTGGTATTTTCTTCTAGCAGGCAGAGGCAGCAGCGAGACAGTCAGCACGACAGCTTTCCAAAGTTAGCAGCTCAGGTCTCCCTGTTTGCTGTGGGCTTCCCTTCCTGGTATTTCTGCTGGACCAAAGGGATGACATTTTAAAGAGAGTGCCAGTGAGATGTGAATATGTAGAATGGTGCCTTCAATTTGCTTCAGTTCTCCTAAGTGGCCTCTTGAGCCAGCTAGAAGGCAGTTGGTAAACACTTCACAAGGCACATTTTCATTTTTTTTTTGTTTTACCAGCAAAATTTGGGATGACGTGGTATAACTCTCTGCCTCTGAGCAGCAAATGGGACTGGTGGAGTTCAACTCACCTGACTTCAAATACCTTTAAATTGTGTTGTGCTGTAAGTTAGAACTGGGGCCCATAGGAGGACATGCATGTCTAGGTTGGATTCTGATCCCTGGAAGACTGAGGTTTTGTGTAACTATCAAAACTCCAAAGTGGCAGGATGGTGACTGCCACTCACACCACTGTCTGTCCACAGAGCACAAAAACAGCATCAGAACCTCCTCTGGCTCCCTCTGTGTCTGAAGAAGAGGATGAAGATGAAGAAGAGGAAGAAGATGACAACGAACCTCCACCTGTCATCGCACCACGGCCTGAACATACAAAATCAGTAAGTGCCAGCTTTGGTTAGCTCGGTGTTTGGTGCAGTGCAGAGCTGCAAGTTTCTGATCAGACAGCACTTGTTGTTCATGGCTGAGGACTCTGAGGGCAGAGGTCCTGCCGTGACACAGTGCTTCACCCCAGCCACTGACACCTGGAAAATCGTTTTCCGACTTTCGTGTTTAGGTGTCGGTTTCCTGGGATTCTGACAGGGGCTGTGACTTTCTCTTCATATCAGATAAAAGGTAGCATCATGTCCTTTAATGCTGTGGGTGTAAAAGTGAGCCACTTCATCCACAGTACCTGTGCAGGCTCCCTGTGAGCAGAGAGCGGTTCAAAGACACAGTTCATACACCCTGGCAGGATACATAGGACACACTGTCCTTGGATGTACCTGCCCCTCTCCACGGACTTTTTCAAAAAATCATGAAAATTGAATGTGAAACTGGCCATGAACTTGTAACCTTTCATTTTTTGCCCATGCAGTATGAGAAGTGGACAGCAAAACCAAACAGTTTTAGAGCTGACACCATCCTCCTAAGGGTTTACATTTGAAATATGAGAGAGATGAGAAATATGAGAAAAATGACATCTCTGCCATCTTTCTGACACGAGATAATTTCTTCTCCCAGATCTACACACGCTCTGTAATTGAACCTGCCGCTGCACCAGCACCAGCTAAAGAAGCCACCACTCCCCAACCTGAAAACTCAAACACAAACACTCTGTACAGAAACACAGACCGGCAGCGAAAAAAATCCAAGATGACAGATGAGGAGATCCTAGAGAAACTGAGTATGTATTGTGTATTTTATGTCTTCTAGAGCAGTGTATTGTGTGCCTATCTCAGCATTAGCTGTACCAAATGTTCCTCCTCAGTTCAGTGTCACAGAGCCATTTACAGCTCCCTACAGAAACTTGTTGAGCTTTGAGGAAGGGTGTTCCTGCTGCTTCTGAGGGCAGCTCAGGCTGGATTGGGTTTGGCTGAGCTTCTTCCTGCTCTAAAGGCAAAAGCAGAGGTTGTTTCAAAAGCAGAAGGCTGTGACCTAGTGAATGACCTAGTGAACTCCTGTGAGTTAGTGGCCAAATTGAACAGAATATTTGGGTTCCTGAATTCTCTTTAGACTCCTGACTTCTCACAGGTCATCAGAGCCAAAATACTTTGCAGAAATCTGTTGGGTTTTGGGTTTGGTTTTTGTTTATAGGGTTTTTGGGTGTGGTTTTTTTTTTAATAGTAGACAACTGCAGCATTAAGCTGATTCCTTCAACCTCAAATAACTCTTCTGCCCCAGCTATTCTCTTGCTGTCCTTCTTATGACTGTTATTACTGTTCCTACTTCTATAGTTTGTTTTCATAAGAATTCTGCAATTTTGTCAGCGAGATCTCCTGATTTTTGTCAGAAAATCAGTTGACACCATGGATAGAGAGGAAAAAGGTCCTTCAGTGTGCCCTGGAATTAAAAAAACCCTATTTTTATAATAGCTTTATAATATTTTTATTAATAGGTGCCAGTGCTGTGCTCTCGATAACGGTTAACATTGGGTTCAGAACAGATCCTGGTTTACTCTGTGTTTACCATTAATTGTTAGTACAAAAAGCAGATTGATCTGCACCTCCTTGTGTCTGATCTCAAAGCCAATAATGTTGGGTCTTCAGAGGGGGCAACTGCTCATAACAGGATGCATTCTGGCTGTGGTTCTTCAGAGTGGTTGTCAGGGCTCCACCTTTTTGTCATACCTGCCTTGCCACTGATGGCTGCTGTGACTGCAGGGGCTGAGACCTTCCTTAGCTGTGAGATTTCAGCTGCTTGCGTAGTGTTCTGCACCCTTAGCAGGTTGCCATGAATCTCAGTGCCATTAGGGAGTATCCAAGGGATCAGTTCGATAGCTTTAGCTGAGGGCACAGTGAAATAAATTCCAGAGCAGATAGTTACCTGCAGGTGTGTCAGCTTACAGAGAGAGGAATTATGCTTTTTCAACTGATGCTAAATGCTTGAGGCAGGCTGAGATCTGCAGGCACCCTGCATTATGAACATAAGTGTGTGTATCATTTATTCAAGCTTCTGTATAGGCTGGGTTAGGACTGAGCCCTGGAGTTGTTGGGGGTTATATCTTTGAAGTGTTACATGCTTTCATGCTTTTTCTTACTTAACAATTTGGTACCAAGTGAGCAAGGTCTGAAGGTCTGCCTTGGGCAAATTGTGATGTGGACAATGAAAATCTTTTTGTGCTTTCATGAAGCTATCTGAAAATGGGGGTGATGCTTTTTTGTTGGAGTCCTGAACTAATTATATTTAAGCAGTGTGGTGCTTGTTCTGTTTTGTTTTATCTGGTATGACCGCTCCACCTTGCCTACTTCCCCCACAACTGTTTTTATGCTACTTTTAGGAAGATGTCTCATGCCCTCTTTTATCTGAAATTGCTTTCATAATTCTTTTCTTCTTGAAATACCTTGGGTTCTTTTAGAGCTTTTAGAGTTTATTAGTGAGTCAAGCCTGTAGTATTGAGATAAGATCAAACAAAATTCTGTCTGTAATGAAATCATGACCATGTTCTACTGATAACTCTAAAACAGAACTGGCCCAATTCTGCTTTCTTATCCACTTAATTTAGGACTTGATAAAGGAAAGTGCTTAAAGACATCAAAATAGCTGATATGTTTATCTTTTATCCAAAGTAGTGAGTGCTGGTCTGAGCTGGAGCTGCATACCTGTCACTTTGTTGATTTTAATGCTGCAGTATTTGGTGTGCATTGGCCTAAGCACAGGGAACCAGCCACAAACAACTGACTTGGGAAAGGAGCTACTCAAGTCTTGAGGAAAAACTCTGAAAATCTGAACTGCAAAATCAGTGGCGAATTTGGAAAAATGATTTTTCAAAATCATTCTTCTTCAGTCTTCTTTATTCTTTTCTCATGTTAATGAACTTCCATGAACTTCTGGTGTCTGTTCTAATAGGTACACAGCCCCATTAACTTGCTGAAAACAGCACCTGGCCATACAGACAGCACAGTGTTGTTGCTGTTGTCCAGCCCAGGTTGAGCAGAGCATTCCAGCAGTGTTTGCTTTGCTGCTGCACAGCCTCGTGGGGTTGGGAGCCACAGGGTGGGAGACAGTCTGGCTCCATCACCCATCGTGGAACTCGTGCCACTGAAAGCTAAAATTAAATCTTGCTCTCTTTGATGCCTTCTTGCCCACTCAGAGCTGTGGGGAGTCTGAACGGGAAGGGAAGAAAGCAGTAATTAGGATTTTGTGTTTATGTCTCATGAAAGAGCCAAAATCTGATAGACTCAAACAAATCTGAAGGCTTAATTAAAGAAACAATACCGTTTACTCTGGTCCAGTAATTTCCTAGCAAAAATGCAAACAATGAAGCCTAAGGTGATGGCTCAATGCAGATGACTTCTAAAGATTTACCTTGGAATTTACATCATGGAAATAGTTTAAGAAGATGAGTTCAAAAGGAAAGACTTCCACTGATCCACAGCGTAGTTTTTTTTCACTGATCTGGCAGTATCCCTGTATGACAAATACAAACATACACTTATTTGTTTACCTGTGCTTCCAAAACAAAACCAGGTGATGCACCATTCACTGTAAGTAGTAACAAACACCTCTTCCCCCTGTCAATACCATTTTTGTGGAACAGAGGGTTTTAGCATCCAAACAGGCATCTGACCGGATGCCCAGCCAGGAATCCTGCCTGCCAGCACGGCAAGAAGACAGGGCATCAACACCATCTGGTGCACTCCCTGCTAAAATAACTTTGCAGCCCTTGGCAAGAGTGCCAATGGGAGCTGCAGGAGAGGAGGTTTCTTTGCCCCACAGCACTCGCTCCCCTCTCCCAGCGCTCCAGGAACGCCAGGCAGTGCCCGCTGTGGATGGCAGTGTGAGCCTGCCCGGGATTCCAACACAGTCTCAAGTATCCTGAAGTGGTCCTGCCCTGCTGGACCTGTCCTGACCCTGCCAGCCTGCAAGGGTCAGAGGAACCAGGTTGTCTGGAACCCAAGCTGATGGTGTAGCGCTTTCAGAACCTGGTTAACTGCGACAATTCCCAAGAAAATAAAGGCACTGTTGTTCCAGCTCTCCTTAATGTTTGTAGAGGACAAACTCTTGCATTGGTACCTGTTCCTTTCTGATCTCTGTCTGCTCTGAATGTTTCTCCATGCTTAGTTGCCTGTCAAGGACTGTAGGAAATCAGTCTTTGCAGAGGCCATCTGTGCTGTGGAGCTGCCTCTGGTGTTGCTGTTGTTGTTGTTTCCCAGCTGACTACAAGGGGCTCAGCACTGGGGTTGCATTTTGGATCTGCTGCAAGGCGGGATCTCCGTTTTGAAGTCAACATCTTGCATTTTGTTTCTTTCAGGGAGCATTGTGAGCGTGGGAGATCCTAAGAAGAAATACACTCGATTTGAAAAAATTGGCCAAGGGTAAGTCCAATCCCAGTTACTTATGCAGAGCCACAGGCCACGTGTTTTGATGGTGTAATATGAGGTGTGAAGTCAGGCAAGCTCCAAGCATGTTCAGACATGTTTAGATCCTTCTGTCTCTCAGTACTGATCAGAACTTGCAACTGTGGTCAGAAGGCATCATCAAAGTCAACTTCATGCTGGCAGTATCTTGTCTGTGGCAAGGAGCAGGACCTGGAAAATCTCCTGTCCCTCAAGTGTGTGGCACTTGTTTGCTTATTTTCTTAGGAGAAATAATTGTGGTGTGTCTCAAAATAATATGACCGCACTCAATAAAGGAGAAAAAACTTCATTACCTAAAAGAGCAACTCAGATAACAGTTCTCAATAACATTTCTTTCAGACACTTTGCTTAAAACAATATTCAGTGGTCAGGCTTATAACCACATAGTTAAGGAACTGAAACAGGAGATTAAATAAAAAGCTCTATTTTCTAGCAGAGGTAGTAAAAAGCAAAAATTCAGTAATAGAGTGTCGATGCACTTGAGAGGAAAATGCATCATCTGTGTGATGGCAGGTCCTTTATGGATCCTGCAGGTTTTAGGCCTGTACTGAAAGTAATCACCCAAGGTATTCCCTTTTGAAACTCAGATCTGCTTACTGTAAACCAAATTGATTTGAAATACTTCCTGTGTATGGAGGCAAGAACAAAAGAGCTTGCCTCAAAATTAGGTATCTGACTTGCATTTCAAATATGGACTGACTGCACCGTCAGAGTTTCCTTGGCAGTGCTGTAGTTTCAGGAGGGCTGGCACCATCTGTGTCACACCAGGATCGCGCCGCTGTCAGTGTGGGACAGAAGCTGTGTGCTGGCATCAGGAGACATTTTTCTGCCTTAACTATCTGTGAGGTTTGAGCTCAGGGTAGCCTGTTGCTGACCTAGAATGGATCCACGCTGCAGAAGGGCAGACACACGCTCATGCTCCTTCTCTGGCAAGTTTTATCTTGGATCTCTGTGGTTTGGTAAGGCCCTTATGGGAAGGTGTTTCTGCTCCATTCACTGTATAAAAACCCCTTCTCAAATTCCAGCTTGCTTTTTGCTTGAAGCTTTGGTTCCTACTGTCATTTGTAAAATGTCAGTGGACACTTAGGGCTGTTCCCATCTCTCAGAAGAGAAGTGTCAGCTGAAGAAGTGAGAGCAGAATAAACATGCATGTGAAGCAGATGACTGCTGTCACCGTGAGAACGTGAGCGTCACCCTCACAGTCTTTTATTTTGATAGTCCTAGGAGTGAGCCTTGGAGTACCTTGACAGCTGGTGGAAAGACAAGTGGCCAATACCTGGCCTAAAAGGGTATCTAAATTGGTTTCCTCCAGCTTTTAGTACAGCCTGAAGACTGCATGCCCTCCTTAGAGAGGAGTGAGTGTGCTGTCATTACCAACTCATGCCTGTAATACCACAGGTCAATTTACAGTGATAGGGAAAGATCCTGAAGCAAAAAATCATCAGGAAAGTAATCAGACAGGATGCTCAGGAGCACCCCAAGTGCTGCACAGCTGAAGTTTTTGTGTCTGCAGCCCAGTTGGGCTGTGAGGCACTGCCTGGGAAGGTGCTGATGTGCACAGTTAATGCAGGTGCCAGTTCCAGAGCTGCCCACCTCTGCCGTGAGTTATGCTGAAAGCAGGCGGTGGTGGTGGAAGTGAGCAGGTTTTTGGTCACTGCTGATGAGAGCTCTGCAAGGCAGGCAGAGCTGTGGCTGCTCGGAGAACTGCAGGTAGGGAGCGACTGCTTACCTAAGGAAAAGCAGCTTGACTGGCACGAAGCACTTCATGGCCTCGTGCAGCTGGTAGGTTAAGAAACAGCCACTTTGCAGTGAAGAGTTAGTGATGCTTCACAGGCCTGTGCTGCATAACAGGTCAGTGCTGAGTCCCTGTTTTGTCATGTGTCTCCAGCTGAGGACTGAAAATGTTGCTGACACTGGAAGAAACTTAGTTAACTAGCACTTGATAAAGAGGTTGTGTTTGCTCAAGCAGTGGTAGCTCTTGCTAGCAAGACAAATTAGTGTGGAGCCATGAGCAGCCTGGTTTTGTCCTGCACTGCATCACAGTGACAAGATCTGATGGTGAGCCCTGCACTTCCCTCACTGCAGTAAACCCAAGGTAATGCAGAAGCAATTAAAAGTTACAGATCAGAAATGAGTTACTTAGAAGTAAAAGTTCATAATGCAGAATTGCAGAGCCCTTGCAATTAATTCACAGCTTTGCTTAAATTACCTTTATTTAAACTCCTCACAGGTGGCCTGGAGCATCCCAAAAACATCCTAATTTCAGGAGCTGTTTTGAAATAAAGCCTAATAGGACTTTGCTCAGGAGGATTTTAGCGATTCTGAATAAATGTTGTTGACTTTTTATGAAAACAAATTGGATTAATCTTGTCAGTTAGCCATAGGAGAATGCATTTGCCTTTATATTGAAAGAATACATAGTGTGCCCAATTAGAGAATTGTTCTCAATGCAGACATAAGGTCTCTGATGAATTAAACTGCTTCAGAAATATTTCAGCCTGCAGGTAAACAAACAAGGCAAGGGATCACGAGGAAAGGAGCAAACTGATTTTGGCACTTTCAGTCAGTGGGACACTTGCTGGTTGTGCATTCATCACCCTGGCTCTCCTTTGCCTCACTGCCTCTGCAGACATGGGCTTCTTCAATGATGGAAGGAAAGCTGTGGTTTAGCTTAGAAGGAGGCCATTTAGAAGAAAGGGTTTACAAGCCCCCAGTTGCTTTGAAACCCAAAAGGGTTTCTTCTGACTGGGGCTTTTCCAGTCCTTACAGGAGAAGAACATCTTTGAATGAGGGGCAGATGGCAAACCACACTGTCTAGGCTGCAGGTGAGCATGCCATTTATTTCTGGTGGCAATACAACACCTGTGTGTGCCACAGAAGCAAAACATGAGCACTATGAAGAGTCCTTGGTGTGCCTGGTGCACCAAACAGAAGCAGCTGCTGACGGTTCTTCACACACAAAGAAGCTGTCTAAGGATCCTCTGTTCTGAGTCCCTCTCCATTTGTGTGTGAAACAACAGATGCCTTGACCTGCTCTAGCTGTGACCTCTCAGGATGGCTGGAGAGCTGTTTCCTTGCAGTGCTGGAGAAAGCTGGGATTAGATGCTTTCCTCAAATGGCTGCCACGTGTTCAGGGTTCTCAGAATGAGAGTGTGCTGTTACCCAAGTTTGCCAGATGGCTTCAAGTAAGAGGTGTGAGAAGGCCCAACTGGACTGTATGTTACATTTCATGGAAAAACACACACACACACACAGACATAAAGGAAAAAAAGAAAAAAACCCCACCTAAATACAGCAAGGCAAAATGAAAAATATTTAAATCTATTACATTCCAGTTTTTGTAGACACGCCCCCTCCCCCTTAGGTTTTGAACTAAAATGGTTTGGTGTGTCCATTGGAGATTTGCACCAGCCCTTTTCCTTCATGTTGGACCTCAGTTTTCTCTTGGACACCCTGCATGGCTGAGGGCTGGTGGGCTGCTGTGCTGTTGACTGAAGAGTCAGTAAACCCAGGTATTTTCTAAACACTCCAGACAGCAGAGATCTCCTCTCTAGGCTAGCTTTCACTCCCAGGGACTAAACCTTTTCTCAGTTCTTTGCTGCTGTTTTGTTTCTAGGGCTTCAGGAACTGTTTATACGGCCATTGACATTGCCACAGGACAAGAGGTAAGTGTCAGAAATCCCTGCAGATTTTGCAGTTGTTGAGTGCTTTCCCCTCTGCTCTGAGCTGTGGGTGGAGCTTTGGGTGGCCAGTAGGTCTTTCCTGCAAAAGCTGTTCCTCTGAAGCCTGTACTGGTGTCAGCTGGCAAAATCCATCATCTGCTGTCTTCAGCTTTTCAGTGAAAGCTCTTTAAGGGCAGTGTGGTTCTGTGCCTCAGTAACTGAACACTTGCCATGGCTGTGCTTTCCAGCAGCGCTGGAATTGAGGTGTTGATAAATGCCTGAAAAGGTGCCTGTGGATGTCTAGGATCAGTAAGAACCTTGGTGTCTCCGTGCTTGGCTGGATGCTTCACCCACAGTTTTTAAGGCCAGTTGTAAGAGATTTATTTTTTACTTACTCTGTCTTCAGAACAGGTGCTCTCTACACTATTGTTGGTCCCACCCTGGTACCGTGTTACATAATCCCTGAATGGTTTTTTTTTTAATGGAGAGAGATCTGTTGAGAAATCCCAGCAAGCTTTTGTGCTGATAAAAAGTAGATAAGTTTGATTGCCAGTGTAAATGTATTGGTTTAGAAATTGCTGCCTCTCTGTTCCCCGGTGTGCTTGAAGTTGTGCTTTTACAGAGAATGCTGGTTCAGATGTACAGTTTAGCTCTGTGTCTGCAGCATAAAATCTGCCTGTGCGTGTGGCCACAGATGGGTTAGTGATACAACTTGTAATATTGAAAGATCTGTCACAGTGAGACAGGTCACATGAAGGTGGTCACAGATTCACCTCTTGCTGTGAGGAATAAGAAGCTTCCTTACGTCACTTAATTTCAGAAAGAGTTTGTCCATATGAACTACCAGAAAGGAGGAGGGCAGTGGTGTCTTCCAGAGAAGGACACTCTGGCTTAGTCTTAATTACTAAATCTATTTCATCAACAAGCTGATGGTGACTGCCATCATTCAGGCCCAATTTATCTAAATTCCAGGTTTGGACAGTAATTGTGTTTACCATTTTTTCCATTATGTGTTTGATCTTCAAAGTACAATTAAGGAGAAGTCATGTTTGAGGCACAATTTTGTGTTTCAGTCATACTGCAGCTGGTAAGAATAGAGTGGTGTGTTGCTCTGGTGTCAATGATAGCTCCTCACAGTCATCCTGTTAGTAATGAAGAGCCAAGGTAGTGTCTTGGAGGATCCCACTGCTCTTTGGGGCTCCAGCTTCAGATTCCTGAGTTCTCCTTTCTGGCTGTCAGCAGAGTCTCAGATCTGAATCTTACTGGTAGTTTCTTATCCACCTGCAGTGCTACACTTGCTAACTGTGCTTACATTAAGGTTTCCAAGGGGTCTAAATCCCTAAGCTCTCCCTATAACCCTGGGCATATCCCTAAAAATACCAAAGCATGGATTATTTCTTTTTAAACTGTGACAGTAACTGCAAGTGTAAAGTGTGTTAATAAATGTTCTTTACAAGAGCAAAAACAAGAAGCTGGGAAGTGCTAGGAATGTATTTTTGCTGTGGAACCTTAATGATCTTTTTAGGATGGCATAATGTATGTCTGTGTTTGCTTTGTTGTACAACCAAGAATAGCAGCAGTTGCTGCTACAATCAAAAATCATAGAATTATGCACTCCATGTTCATCCTGATCTTGTGCAACTGACTACTCAGGTTAATGGTTTTCAATGTAATTTTAGGTGGCCATAAAGCAAATGAATCTCCAACAGCAGCCCAAAAAGGAACTAATTATCAATGAAATCCTGGTCATGAGGGAAAATAAGAATCCCAATATTGTTAACTACTTAGACAGGTAAGTAGTTCTGGTATTATCAGGTGAGTGTTTGTTTACATACTGCAAGCCAAAGATCAAAAAACTCCTGTGACCACTGGCAGAACATGAAGCTCTTTATTATTTCTCTGCACATCTCCAGTGGATGGGAGGAATTTGCATTGGCTCTGCATTAATCTTTTCTGGCATATGTGGTTTGAAGCCTTGTTTTCAAAAACCTGAATCAGACATATCTTACTAAATTGAATGCCAGTTCACTACCTCCATGTTGTTCTGGGGTTTGTTTTTTTCTGTGTCTTAGGTAGAAATTATTTCCCTTGGGCTTTTCCCAATAATTTTCCCTTGCTGTGGGCACCAGGAAGACTAGATTCTTGTTTCCAGAAACACCTAATTTGCCAAGTTTTAAATTTTCTTTCCTGTTTCTGGATGGTTTTTTTTGCAAGTTTCCAAACACTTGACCAACTCCTGTCCTCAGTGGTGCCCACCCTCCTGTCATGGATGACTGAAAGTTGTGTTGCCTTGTTCCCAGAGTTAATGGTGGAATTTATGAGTTAAGATGGTGAACTGGCTGGTGGCATGTGCTGATTCACGATTTATCTTCGCCGTTACTAAACTGCATTTTTCACTTGCTTGTCACCTAAGACATCTTCTTTTTCCTGGTTGTGCCTCTCCCATTTAGACTGCACAGATTCCAAGTACTGTAGAACCTAGAAGGAGTGTCCTTTATTCCTTTTATTCTGTCTTCACTTAAAAGTGAGCTGGAAACAAGAATCAGCTGTAGAGCTGTGACTATTAGATAATTTAGCTGTCCACATTCATCTCCACACCGCTGTTTTCTCCTTCCAGCTACCTTGTGGGTGACGAGCTGTGGGTGGTGATGGAGTACTTGGCTGGAGGCTCTTTGACCGACGTTGTCACCGAGACGTGTATGGATGAAGGACAGATAGCTGCTGTCTGTCGGGAGGTGAGGGCCCCCCTTGTGCTTTGGTTTGCATGGACAGGGTGCTGCTTCTGTTTCTGTGTTGCTGTTACTATGCAGAGAAGAAAGGGCACGTCCACTGCAGCAGTGTCATTCTGTCTGTGTTTGTGTGTAGCAACAACTGACGTGTCTTTTTTAAAGCTGATGCCTTCACTGAGAAAGATGGGACTGTAAGAGTGTTGAAGCAGGAATCTCATAGAGCCATTTCCTTTTTTGTGTGATGAAATCACATTACGAATTTTTGCCCTCACGTTTCTCATTTCTCCATCAGTGCCTGCAAGCCCTGGATTTCCTTCATTCCAACCAAGTGATTCACAGAGACATCAAAAGTGACAATATTCTTCTTGGGATGGACGGATCTGTCAAATTGAGTAGGTGTTCTTGGTCAAGTGCAGTGTTCCTGGCATGTGGTGTGGGGCTGCTCTGGAGTGACTGCCAGTTCCCCAAAAGTGGTGTTTGTGGGCGTGCTGTGAGCTAAGGGCACACCTGCAATGTGCAGAGAGGTCTAGGTGTCAGGTGTGGCTTTGGTTTGTGTGTGTCCCTTCCAGAGGGGAGGGAGTTACAATCTAAAGCTTCAAGTGAATGAATAAAAGCCACTGTGTGAAACTTGAGGGTTTCTTTAAGTGGCCAGTTCTGTATTTCCCTGGCTACAGCCTTGAGGAAACAGAGCACGGCCGCTTTTCCAGTTTGATTCAGCACTGCATTCTCAGACTTAAGAGTGGGGAATTCTTTTGCTTGCTTTCATAATTCAAACTGGCTTCAACAGTATTTGTTTTTCTCCTCAGCTGATTTTGGCTTCTGTGCTCAGATCACTCCAGAGCAGAGTAAACGGAGCACAATGGTGGGGACTCCTTACTGGATGGCACCAGAAGTTGTAACAAGAAAAGCATACGGCCCCAAGGTGGACATCTGGTCACTTGGGATCATGGCAATAGAAATGGTGGAAGGAGAACCTCCCTACCTTAATGAAAATCCTCTCAGGGTAAGGTGAAATACCGTCAGATAGCACTGTCTTTCTAATCTGTGCCATATTTTGTCTTACATGAGGTACAATCCCATTCACATCAGCTTGAACTAGTTCTGTGAAGGCCCACTTCTAGAAATGCTCCTGGAGCACATCAGCACCTGCTGTAGCTTTGATTGCATCACTGGGAGAACCTTAGAAGAGAAGTGACATGTGCCAGTGCAGAGACTTGCCATTTTGGCCTTCAGCGGTGCTTGAAATTTGTCATGCACTTTTTGAGCTTTCTTTGAGCTCTATCTCTGAATGACAAGAATTTTTCAGTGGCAAGTTTCTCCAGTTGAAGAACTGTTACGAAAAGCATTGCAGCTGTACCTGCAGGCATGGAACTCTCTGGAGGCAGTCTCAGCTGCCTCCAAACAGGAGAGCTTGTAAGCAAGACTGGTTTTTGCAGAAAAGATTTTTAGCTGATGGCACACAGTAGTTTTCTTGAAAAATGTAATGAACATATTTCTTTTATATCCCAGCCACTTTCTCCATGTCATCAAGCCTAAGCTTTCAATAATCCAACTACCCAAACCTCCTGTTTCTTGCCTGGCAGTTTCTGGGATGGGGTCATCATTAATGCATTTACTTGAGTATCAAAGTTAGCAGAGGGTTACCATGGGGATGGAATTAATCCTTTTTCTGATGAGACCATTAAAAGTTTTCCTTCTACCACATAAGTGGAGCTGATCTGGAATGTAAAGACTGCTGAAAGACATAGTTGCAGGTGGCTTCTGTCTACCCAATTATGCCTTTTCATCATAGTATTTTGTGCATGCAACTTAATGTTTCTGTGTTGAACATGAGGCTCCAAATGTTTCTGTTTCTTTATCCAACAATAAGATGGTAGATTTCTTTTTTTTCATCCAGTAACCATTTTTTATCAAGAATAGAGCAAAAAACTTGATGACTTCTGTTTTGTGGAAGCTGTATGTTAGGGACCAGTGAACACTGCAGAGATGCATTTTATGTAATAATCTTTTGAAATAATATATTTAGACCACACTGATTCTTTAAAAGTGGTCTGTAAAGCTGGTGTCAGTACTTGGAGAAGCAAAATGTGTGTTTGCCAATGTAGTTCCTACTAACTAGGTCAGCCAATGAAATCAGCTGTCAAGGCAAGATCATTTTGATGTTGGAATAGCTGTGACTGCATCAGGATTTTTCTTTTTGTTGGTATAGAAAAATCATCTCCAGCCCTCTGCCAGGGAAGAAACTGCCACTGGAGACCGGAGCTTAAAAATTCGTGTCTCTGTGAGTAGTTCTGGGTATGAATGAAACAGTGTCCTGTTTTTTCTCCAGGCGCTGTATCTGATAGCCACAAACGGGACCCCAGAGCTGCAGAACCCTGAGCGACTGTCGGCTGTGTTTCGAGACTTCCTCAACTGCTGCCTGGAGATGGACGTGGACAGGCGAGGGTCTGCCAAGGAGCTTCTGCAGGTGAGGGAAGTGGCTGCAGGGGAAACAGCTGCCCCAGGTATCGGTTTTCTCATCAGATAAACTCAGAGGCATCAGGTGCCCTCCCCGCTGCCCCATATTAACCTCCAGTTTTGGTGCTTTTCAAACTACTAAGTAGAACCCTAGAAAAGTGTGGGTTGGAAGGGACCTTTAAAGGTCATCTAGTCTGACTCCTCTCAATCCTATTTCTGTGTATTTCTGGTAACCAGAGGAATCCTTCTTGAGCCTGTGAGGAACTGAGTTTGGAAATTAATGATTCTTTTCTTTTCTTTTTTTTTTTTAATTCCTTTGGGCAGCATCCATTTTTAAAATTAGCCAAGCCCCTCTCCAGCCTCACCCCTCTGATCATTGCAGCGAAGGAAGCGATTAAGAACAGCAGCCGCTAGCACTTCAGGTCGGCTTTCTGCCCTGCCAGCTCGGAGCAGGACTGAGAACACAAACTCTGTAAAACCTCAACTCTCGTGCTGCGGGACAGATGGATGGATGAACAAACCAACGGTCACAGTCATGGTGGTAGGACCACCCCAGTTCCTCAAGGAGTAAAAAAAAAAATTATCATTTGTCTTCTTCCTGCTTTCTGGCTCCTTAATTTATTTTTAAGATGAAATGGGGCTAAGGACAGAGAGGTAATGACAGAAAATGCTTTGCTGCCTCAATCATTTCCAAGGTAAAGCAAATTCAGTTGGAAGATTCCCTTCCTTCTCACCCTGTGAATAAGCTGTACATTCACTTTTAAATTGTCAGTTCTTTCTTAACGATGTAAAGTCCTGTTTATGGGGTTTTTGGTATGGTTTGGAATTGAGAAGGGCAATTCTTCATTCATCAACTCCAGACTGCACTGCCTTTTGAATAGAGCCCACTCACCAGTTTTTGCCCAGTCATGGTACTTCTAGATGAGGAAGAAAGTGCAATTGCATTTCCAACCAAAAAGGAACGAAGAGTGGGGCAGACAAAACATCCTGTGGAGATACAGTGTTCAGCTGGGACTGTGTAGTGTTTTGGTTCTTGCCAGTTGGATCTGTATCACTAACTGCAATCTCTTTGCCTGGATGAGAGTCTTACTCAACTGAAAAAGTGGAAAGATCAGTTGGTTGCTCGGAAAGGGCTCATCTGATGCAAAGCTGCCACAGCAGTGTGAGGTGAGAGCAGGCCCAGCCTTGCCCAGTGCTGAGCTCCAGCAGAGCCCTGGCAGAGCACACAGGGCAGCCTCAGCATCCACAGAGCCAGGCTGGAAGAAGGCATTGTAGTGGCAAGGGGCAGCAGCCCAGCCCTGGGTGCTTGCCTCTTCCTGGGACTGGACTGATCACCCCGTCTCAGAGCCAAACTGGGTGTGGGCTGCTCCCGAGGTGAATCGTGGCCATGCTGAGAAATGTGCAGCCTGGTGGGATTTGCCATCTTGAGTCTCTGCAGGAGTAGAGAAGGGCAAAACAGAGCAGGGTGGTCTCTTCTGAGGATTGCCTGCTCTTCTCCTGGTTGTCTTGTAGCTCCTGGGAAAGGTTGGGAGCGTCTGCAGCACTCTCAGCAGAGGGGGAAGGAGCCGGGCTGCTCCGCAGGCTCCCACACAGGTGAGCATCCTTTAGGCACAGGAATTCTGCTGTGGGAACCAAGACTGCCCTGAGGAGCATCCTGCGCAGTTCAGCTCTGCAGGAGCCGGCGCAGCCGCCAGCTCCGGAAGAGAGCGCCGTGGAACCTGGAGTTGTGCACCGAGCCAGAGCAAACGTGTGAAGTGCAGAGTGGATTGCAGAAATATCCCGAGGCACCAAGCCAGCACCAGGCCAGCCCGCTCTCTGCTGTCCGGCGTGCAGCAGGCACTGCGCAATGCAGCTCTGGGTTGCCGGGAGGAGGGAGACGGGGACGTGCCTGAGGATTGTGCTTGACTAGTCAGCGGATTTGGAAGGGAGCAGAATAGTTTCAGTATGCAATTTGTGTTTTATTTATTAATTTCTGAAAGGAAGACGCAACACGGCTTCACTCAGCAAAAGCATTTGCACGGCGTATTTGTTGCTGTATTTTAGGAGTACAGCTCATGCAAGACCTTTAAAACAGCAACTGAAGCAACAACACACCCAGTGAGCAAAAAAACCCCACAGTAACACAGCTTTCTGATATAGATCTTCATGTTTCAGCCTGGTCCTGCAAAGGGCTCAGTAGCCTTTAAGGTACTCACTGCCTTCATGTCTTGCCAGCAGGAACAAAGGGTGCTTGGGCTGGTCTTGAATCAGGCCATGAGCTTGTTTGACTTTGGCTTCCTGTTTAGTTGCAGCCTTTGTGTGGCAAGTGTCCTTACTGCTGCAGACTGACCCACCCTCGCTCACACTGTCCGTCCCAGTGTCTTTGGCTGAGGCAGCAGATGGAGACAACGCTCCCTGAGCTACCACTGCTAAGTAGGATTAACTTTTCCTGATTTCCTGGGGAGCACAACAGGTACAGTTTTTCAGATGGCCTGATAACATGCCAGGGTGAGCAGCTCCGGTTTCCTGAGCCAGGGGAACTTCAGGGGAAGCCAAGGGAGCCTCCAGGAGCCCACAGCTGGTGCAACAGTGGCTGATGAGACCCGGGCAGGCCAAAAGCAACCAAGCTTTGCCCCCATAAAGGAACCCCTGCAGGAGCAGGCACAGCAGATGGTGAGCACAGCTGTGGGAGAGGAACCCCTCCTCTTCGGGCCAGAGCTGGCAGAGGGGGTGAACAGGGGGAGGAGTGTCTGTCAGCCTTCTTTGCTTCAGTCTTTAACTGTAGGACCAGTTGCTCTCCAGGAGCCCAGCCCTCTGAGCTGGAAGACAGAAGTGGGGAGCAGAATGCAGCCCCCATAATCCAAAGGGAAATGGCCAGCTACCTGCTACACCACTTTGATGCTCACAAGGCTCTGGGGCTGGATGGGATCCACCCAGGTGTACCAAGGACCTGGTGGAAGAGCTCACCGAGCCATTTTCCATCACTCACCAGCAGTCCTGGCTAAGTGGAAGGTCCCAAGTGACTGGAAGTCAGCAAATGTGACACCGACCTACAAGAAAGGCCAGAAGGAGGATCCAGGGAACTACAGGTGTGTCAGCCTGACCTTGGTGCCAGGGAAGATCATGGAGCAATCATCACACAGCACGTACAGGACAGCCAGGGGATCAGGCCCAGCCAGCATGGGTTTGTGAAAGGTGGGTCCTGCCTGACCAGCCTGATCTCCTCTTACGACAGCATGACCCACCTAGTGGATGGGGGAAAGGCTGTGGATGTGTCTACCTGGACCTTATTAAAGCCTCTGACACCATTTCCCACAGCATTCTCCTGGAGAAACTGGCTGCTCATGGCTTGGATGGGTGTGCTGTTACCTGGGTAAAATACTGACTGGATGGCTGGGCCCAGAGAGTGGTGGGGAATGGAGTTTTATCCAGCTGGGGCTGGTTACCAGTGCTGTTCCCCAGAGCTCAGTACTGGGGCCAGTCCTGTTTAATATCTTTATTGATCATCTGGACAAGGGGATCGAGGGATCAAGGGCACCCTCAGTCAGTTTGCAGATGACACCATGGTGTGTGGGAGTGTTGATCTGCTGGAGGGTAGGAGGGCTCTGCAGAGGGATCTGGACAGGCTGGATCGATGGGCTGAGGCCAACTGGACAAGGTGCAACAAGGCCAAGTGCCAGGTCCTGCCTTTGGGTCACAACAACCCCCTGCAGCTCCAGGCTGGGGCAGAGTGGCTGGAAAGCTGCCCAGCAGAAAAGCACCTGGGTGCTGGTCAATAGTGGCTGAACGTGAGCCAGCAACGTACAACTACCTGAAAGGAGATTGGAGCCCTGGGGGAATTGATTTCTCCCAAATAACAAGTGATGGGACGAGAGGAAATGGCCACAAGTTGCACCAGGGAGGTTTAGATTGGATATAGGGAAAAATGCTTCACTGAAAGGGTGGTCAAGCCTAGGAACAGGCTGTGCAGGGCAGTAGTTGAGTCACCATCCCTATAGGTATTTAAAAGACGTGTAGATGTGGCACTTGGGAATGTGGTTTAGTGGGGGCTTGGCAGTGCTGGGTTAACAGTTGGACTCGATGAGCTCAGTGGTCTTTTCCAACCTGAACAATTCTGTTCTATTCAAAAGACTTTGTTTCCTTCTTGTGAGGTCCCATTTTCTCTGTCAGCTCAAGTTCTGTGTCTGTGGGAGAGACTTCCTTGTGAAAGAGTAATTCTGGCTGGAGATGGGCTGCCCTCCACGTGTAAAGCGTTCATCAGAATGAAACGTGTGTATTCCTGTAAGAAGTGAAGAAATGAGTGACTGTTTCTGTTTCCAGTATTGCTTTTATTTTTTCCTACCCACAAAGGAACAGACAGCCGTCCTTTAAAAGGAAAGCACTTTGTAATGGCACATGTTTGCTGGACATACAGTCTAAATACTTCTGTTGACAAACGACACTATTTGATTGGAAGGGGAATTCCTATTTATTTTCTTTACCTGTAAGTATTTCAGCATCTCTACTTCAAAAAAACCCCACCACCATAACTTCCCAGAAGATAACAGATTTTAAAAACAGGAAAATCAAATGGTAGGTGTTTTTTTTAATTAATCAGTGTATGCCCCAGCATACAGAATATTGTTGGCACTGACTTTTTAAAGACAACCGCTGTCTTAGGAGGCCTTAACTTTTTATTTTATTAAATACTATATTTATTTTTCTTTGCATCAGCAAAGCTAGGGATTTTTCTTCTGAAATCAGTTCTGGGGAGGCAGACAATATTCAGCAGAAATAATCTCTGCCAGTGGCTTTTTTCAGCATGGACTGTACTTGCCCAGCTGGGGTTTTGGGACATGCAGGGAAATGAACCTCCAGTGTCCATGTGGCTCCATGCTTGAGACAGTCTTGGCATTAAATTTTCACTCACTAGGTACTGAAAGATTGCAGCTGTGTTTATATCCTCCCAACTTGGATAGGAGATGTAGAAGAGACGTAGATATATTAAAAAAACCCAACGACACCAAACCATAAAAATCCAGTCCTGAAGTGGTCACGTCTTGTACATGATATACAGGCTCACAGAGTGTATTAGGATTGGCAATAGTATGGCCTTGCAGAAAGGAAAGAGACAAATATCTTATATCTCTGGAACCATCTTGGGCTTTCTGACTGCTATCCTCAGATTAAGCATTATTAGATATATTTTTCTGAAGTATTAGAAATAGGCTGTTTCTGTTGCAATATAAAAATTAAAAAAGTTTCAGACACTTCCATTCCAAGGTTTTAAAGGATTGGTTAACTGTCTTCATTTTTAAATTTAACAGTAAAATACCCCATCCAAGAGCTTGATCATGGTTCCCATCCCTGCAGTGAAGATGTGTGAAAATGAGCCAATAGTGCACTGTGGTTTTATTGTGTTTTGGGACAGAAGCATGATAGCAGTAAAGTCAGGGAAGTTTGAGAAGCACAGAAAAGTTTATTTATTTAAGAAAAAAGAAAAAAAAAAGATAACCATACCTATGTAAAATTCCGTACAGCTCCTGCATGCACTCCTGGGAACCTGCACGGGGGTGGATCTTACAGTGCTCTCAGGGGTGGATCCCAAACTTGGGCTGGGGTTGCATTCTCACTTCTGTGTCCAGCGCTTTTGTAAATATGTGTGTGTTTGTTCTTCATCTTTGGCTACTGGTTGGCCATTCCACTACACACAAATGAACTCAAGGGTTTGTGCTGAGTTTCTTTGAGGCCAGTGGCTGCACTTTGGCAGGTCTTTTGGTCAGTGTTTCCCCATGTCCTGCCACCAAAAATGAAGCACATTCCAGTCACTACGAGAAGGGAGTAAGTACCTGTCTCCTGTCCTCTAGTTGTAGGAAATGTCACCGTACTTTACTGTCCCTATGGTGGTTATTTCCAATATATAGTCCTTGGTGTGGCTACTGAATATTCCTCACACTGAGCATGTAAATACTTAGTAGTCGTTAGTCCAGTCCTGAGCAAATCCAGTGAGCAAAGGGCCAGAGAGAGCCCTGTAACATCTACCATTAAAGGCAGGAGCCAGTGTTTTTTGCTTGACATGCAGGGCATGCACAGTAGTGCCACCTTTGCCTTGCTGTGCATTACCAAGGCAGTGGTGTACACACCTTCCTGGTGGACTGTTCATTCATGCCCAGGTATGCAGCAACTTTAATGATGGGTGGTGGGGCAAGCTGATGAAGACCTATAAATATAAGTGTTCATCTTTTTTTTTTTTTCTTTCCCTCTCCTCTTCCCTGACCAGGTAAATGTCTTTAATTTTATCACCAGTTTTCAGGAAGCAGGCAAAGGATATCCCTTGTCTTTCAGCAGAAACCATTTCTTGAAGTGTGATTTACAATTCAGGGATCTTTAAAACTTCTCTTTGCTTGTGTCTGTCCTTGAGCCTACAGGGTAAATTTTATTTTTCTGGCTGAAGCTTGCAGAATGTTGCTTATACATCTCTCTTTGGGTGCAGTTTAAAGCCAATTGCCATAATCCTAGGTGTGCATCGTGCCTACAAACCATCACTGGCCTGAGCCTACCAATGGTTGCATGTACCTTTGGTGACAAGAGCCATCTCAAAAGAGAAGAGGTCTCACAGGAAAGAGAAGAAGGGAGGGATGCCCACTTGCTTTTCTTGGGTGCCCTTTGGACTGCCCCATGTACAAGCCTGCAAACTTTGTTCTTGCTGCTCAGCAATTCCCCCAGGCAAGCACTTGGGGGTTCTACTAGAATGTGACCCTGACTGAGGAAACAGGGGGCAATACCATTAGTTAAAGTTGGAAATACTGAAAACTGCTGATTGATTTAATAGCCTGTGAGCACAGTGGCTTTGCCCTGCACAGTTTCCTAGCAGACCATGCATCAGCTTCAGCACCTCTGTGTCAGGTGCCTTCTGCTGTGTTTGGTGGCACCGCATTCACAGCTGCCTGCAGATCACACAGGGTTTCTGTGAGGTTTGCTCACAACATCTGCCTTGGCCAGCTTATGTACAAAGCCAGAAGGGCCGTGGTTGGGCACAGTGGCCTGAGTTGGCAGCTGCGAGTGCAGATCAGAAGAGCTGTCAGGCACATCTGTACACACCTTTGAATCACAACTCTCTGATGTTACAGGTTTATGCCAGTCACTGTAACAGGCTCTGACCCTGGTATCCTGCTGATGAATGCAAGGTTTGAGTGAAGGCCTCCAATTCCTCTGTTATTAGTTCTCAGGTGAGAGCTCGAGCTGGTACCTCCAGAGAGGGACCCGTAGCCCAATTCATCCCTCTCAATTATACCCATACCACCTGATCCCAAAGTTCAGTCCCTTAATTCTGGTTGGTGGTCACTTGATTTCTTACAGGTTTCCACTGTCACTGGGCTGGCCGCCTTCAGACATTACTTCATTGTCTTGGAATTGTCGCCTTGGTCCTTATCTTCTTCATTCCATTCATACCTGGAGGAAAAGGAGCTGGGGGTGCTGGTTGACAGGCTGAACATGAGCCAGTGTGTGTGGCCAGGAAGGCCAGTGACATCCTGGCCTGTACCAGCAGTAGTGGGGCCAGCAGGACCAGGGCAGTGACCATCCCCTGTGCCGGGCACTGGTGAGCCCACACCTCAAATCCTGTGTTCAGTTCTGGACCCTGTGTTCAGTTTTGGGCCCCTCACTAGAAGAAGGTCACTGAGGTGCTTGAGCCTGTCCAGAGGACAGCGGAGCTGGGGAAGGGTCTGGAGCACAAGTCTGATGAGGAGCAACTGAGGGAGCTGGGGATGTTTAGCTTGGAGAAAATGAGGCTCATTGTTTTCTACAACTACATGAAAGGAGGTTGTAGCAAGGTGAGAGTTGACCTCTTCTCCTGATTACAGAGGACATGGCCTCAAGTTGTGCCAGGGGAGGTTTAGACTGGCTATTAAGAAAAATTCCTTTACCAAAAGAGTGTCAAGCATTGGACAGGCTACCCAGGGCAGTGGTTGAGTCACCATCCCTGGCGGTATTTAAAAGACACGTAGATGTGGCACTTGGGGACACGGTTTAGTGGAGGATCGGCAGTGCTGGGTTAACAGTTGGACTCAGTGAGCTCAGAGGTCTTTTCCAACCTAAAGGATTCTACAATTCCGTGATTCTAACATTCTAACTAATGTTAGCAGCATTAGTTTGATCAAAAAGTTCTCTCTTGGTCAGCTCTTGTGGCCCGAGGTTTCAGCTCCTTTAGCTCCTGAGCTGCTAATGCTAAACTAGATAAACTCTGGGAGAAGAATACAGTTAATCCAGTTTCTTCTAGAACACTGTGAAGGTGAGTGTGTGAAGTAAAACATGAGTACTGTTTGCGTGTCAGCCCCTGCCCTCTATGCCTTTCAGGGGTTTGAAACAGGAAAGAGCTTTCCTAAAGAGAGAATTGAAGCAGTGTGTTACTTGTCCCAGGTTTTTCCAGTCCCTGTGCTTGACTGGTTTTGTCCCTGTTTCTGTGCCCTCTGTTCCCCCTGTGCTCAGGGGCTGCTGCCCAAGACTGCGTAACTGGCACAGATAAAGACGAGCCCTCATTTCTCACAGCAGCCTTTTCATCTGTAAGCTCGGTCTGGAGAGGGAGTCATCCCCTCTGGTGTACACTCCAGGAGCCCAGGGCCTGCCATCTGAAGTCCATGCTGGCATTGAGGGCTGCCAGGTGGCTTAGGCTGGTGTGATGCTATTGTAAATGTGAAGAAATAGTGGCAAGTGATAGTTTTGAAAGTCAGGTCAGTCTGCTGCTGCGTGCTATGTGTGTTGTTTGTCCAGCCCTGCCCTAGACTTGGCGATCCGATCCAGGCTCTGCTGCTGCTCCCTCTGGAGTCAGCGAGAATTTGTTTGTTGGTTTCAGCGACAGCAGAACTGGTCACTGAAGAAGCAGGCGCTGAGTTCCAGGGCCAGAGGGGTTCCCTTGGCTGCATGGGTGGAAGGGAGCTGCCCCTTGTTCTTATTCTTCACCATGCAAAACTGGTCAGGTGCCGGTCAGATGTGGATCAGCACAGCAAACAGGGAGCCTGCAAGTGTCTTCTATCCATGTGTGCTGAGATTTTTGACCTTTGGGCTTAAGGTGTACAAAAGCAACTGCTCTTGGTCACTGTGTGTATCTCCACGTTCAGCAATGCTGCTAAATCAGTCTGTAGCACAGCAACAGGGGAAAAGCCTCAGGTGTGAGGAGCTGCTGGTATCTGCCTTAGCAGGGACACCAGCAGAAGGGGAGCTTCTCCAGATGGGAACTCATAGCAAAGGACTGCACAGACCATAGCACCCCCTCCTTGGGCAGAGCCCAAATTCAGGGGGGAATAACAGAGTGATTCTGGTGCACTGGTGTGTCGGCACTGCAGGTGCTGCGCCTGCAGACAGATGGTTTGAGCAGATCTGCAAGAATTCTGCAACTCTTGACTGGATCAGGATGTCACCAGTGCTAAACTCCAGTTTAGTCCAAAGCAACCAGGTTACACCAACGCTGGTGTCTGCTAGATATTTTTTCTTCAGGGTATCCAGACAAAAGTAAACAGAGGAGGAGCCTAATTTTCATTGTCTATCAGAAATGTATCTCATTTTGCTGTACATTCCTTTTTTAGGACGTGTTATCTGTTTAAAAAAAAAAAAAAGAAAAAGAAAAAAGAAAAGAAAAAACAGAAAAAAGAAAAAGATGAAAGATAAAAACAAAAATCATGTGTAGTGAAAAATCTTCTGTAACTTTGGATTAAGAGGTAACTGATCTTTTTAAAAAGAGAACTAAGTTATTTACTTTGTAAATGTGCTGATGGCATGGATCCATCTTACTGACCTCAGCATCCTTTTTTTAAAGATTTTGGGTTTTGTTTCCAATATTAAGTTATTTTAAATTGTGGTTGAAGCAATAGGAAATTGAAATATGGATTGTGCATGACTGTGTCTTGAGTGTAAAAATATTGCAGTTTGAAACTTGGACCTAAAGTATTGCAAATAAAAGTTATAAATACCAATGGATTGTGTGACAGCAGCTTTTCCTATACGATTTGCAGCATCAGTCTTCTTCAGTGTGCCTGTGGGTGCTTGTAGCTTTGTCCTGTGCCACTGTATGATGTCCTGAAAGAGGACTTAACCTGCCACCAGCCCTTTTTGCCCTCTGCCACTGGAGCTCCTTGTACCTTGTGTCCACAAAAGCAGACAGATGGCATTTCTTTTGCTCCCCAGGTTGCACAAATCCAGAGAGCTGTGATTTTTCCAGTCTTGTGTCTCCATTGTTCTGTATTCATAAAGAACCAGCACCCCCTCCTGATGAATGTGGCGAGTTACACAGATGGTCATCAGCTACAGTTCCTGCCTAGAAATCTTTAAACTGCTTCTAAATTCTGCTCAGTTCAGCTCTTGTACAGCTACTCACACAGAGCTGGGGAAAAAGTCAGCTGGCCACCAGCTCAAAAGGTAAGTGATGTTGGAGTTAGAGGTGTGTGGGCAATCTCCATCCGTATGTTTTTAGTATATCTGTATATGGGTGTGTTCGTATGTGTTTTTTACATATAAAGGAAGGAGTGTGGAAGCAACTTGGGGAACGCTTTCCCTGTCCATGTTTGTTACATGCACGTGTATATAAAGACCCTTCTGTAGACAGACCCTGATATAACTGCCCAGTGGAGCGTGGGGTGGGGAAGATTGAGGGGATTCACAGAGCTCATCATGGTGGAGGGAGGAGGCAAAGGGAATGGGAATACCGCAGTGACGACAGCTGAGGGACGGAGAGAGGGCCTGAATTGCACCGTAAAATCTCATGGGACCCCTGAGACACAGCTGTTGTGCAGGCAGGGACAGGACGAGCCTCCAGACCCCGGGCTTTGTCTTCTTTGGTGCGAGGGGCAGCAGGGAAGGCTGTGGTGTGGAGACCATGATGAGCTGGGAACTCATTGGGGGGAAAGAGGGAGCAGTTGTGAAGTGATAGGAAGGGGAGAGAACTGTCCAGAGAACAGGTGAGACACAGCGTGACCGAGCTGAAAACTCTCGTTTGGGGTCATCCCAGATGGATTTGATTTCAGAAATGACTGAACACATGCCGCCTCCTCCAGCAAGCCATGGGAGGACAACATCAATCTCCTCAGTAGCTGCAAGAGCGGGATGTTCATGTGCCCACTGCCATCTCCCAAAACCTGTTATCCCACTCGTGCCGAGAAGATAAGGAAGATGGGTATTTACCTCACATGCTCCATCACCAAGAGACTGCTGGGGAGCTTGGACCACTCCAGGAGTTGGATGACGCCATGAAACCCACTGGACATGTTGTAAGCACGATCTCCAGGGGTGCCAGGGTGCCGTCGGGCTGCGAGGGGGCCACGATGTCGTCAGTGGGGCTCATGCCGTGCCAGGGGTCTGTCTGGTACGCCTCACCCAGCTCGGGATGCCCCGCGCCCCCAATGACCCCCAATGAGGTGTCCTGGCGGCTTCCACCCTCCCTCAGGGATGAGCCTCGGCTCATCCCCGCCCGCCACGCCCCGGTTTCTCTCGCTGGCCCCCGTCACAGACGAGCTCGCCCCACTGCCAGGTGCGATGGGGGAAAGGCATTTGATGGCCCCCTGCGAGCCAAGGGGAGCAGCGGGCTGAGCTCGCCGCCCACCCCGCACAGCCTCTTCCTCTTCCTCCTCCTCCTCTTCCTCCTCCTCCTCCGCCAGCCCCACCACTCACCGGGGCTCCATCCGTGGGGCGGGTCCCCGCGGAGACGCTGCCACAGCCGCTGCCCGGCGGCGAACCCGCCCGGTACCGCTCCTGCAGGGGCTCCTTCGCCCTCCCTGCGGGCCACACGCGGCCGGCAGCCTTCGGACCGGGACCCGGCACGGCCCCACAGCCCCCCGGGACCCGGCACGGCCCCCACGGCCCCACAGCCCCCCGGGGACCCGGCACGGCCCCCACGGCCCCACAGCCCCCCGGGCCGGGCTTCCTCCCCGGAGCGGGCACCGGCGGCTCGGGCCGGGGAACCCGCAGAGGATGCGGGAACAGGGAGGGTGATCCCCCCGGACCCCGGAGGCGCCGGGGGTGGAGCCGGGAGTGGGACCGGGGCGGAGAAGGGGCAGGGGTTGGGGCCGGGGCAGGCGGAGCCGAGGGAGGCTGTCCCAGCCCGGCCGGAGCGGCCCGCCCAGCAGCGCCACAGCCCACACGGGACGCCCAGGGCGGGGACGGGGCTGGCCGGGGGCACGGCCGGGCCGGCAGGTGGAGAGAGAGACCAGGAACGGGAGAGGGAAACAGGGAGAGGGTGCGGGACACCGGGAGAGGGAGAGGAGGAGGAGCAAGGGCAGGTCAGGAGAGTCTCTGCTGTCGCTGCTGCCGTCGCCGAAGCGCCGGGGCTGTTTGTCCGTCTGTCCGTTCGGACAGACGGGTGCCCCAGGCGGTGTCACGGAGCTCCTCTTCCTCCCGCACCCGCGCCAAGGCCACGGTCCCTTATAGCTTCTTCTTCGTTTTATTATTTAACTTCTTTTCTGGAAATCTTGCAGCTTCCCATCAGTGCAGGAGCCAAAATATTTTTGATCCCGAGTCTGCCAAAGCATGTCAACTTTACCATACTAAGCCAAGATACTGAGTCTTGACTCCTGCACAGTGTCACAGGAATCACCTTTCTTGCTGCTGTGTATTGCCACAGCTGAGGGTAAAGTGCTATTGGAACACATTCCCTACCTGTAGAATTCGTATCCAGCCAAAGCACTGTACTTTAAAATCTTATGTTTGCATTATGTTTCTATTCTTGAGGATGGTTCTTATGTTTCCAGCATTAATTTCAAAATGAAACAGGGGAAGGCAAACTCTATGTAACTAATGGTACTTTTGAGTGTACAAAACTTGCTAAGTCATAGGTCTAAGAGGTAAGATCAATTTGGAATTAATGTGCTGTAGAGCTAGTGCAACACAGAAAACTAGAGCATATAAAGAAATGAATTAATATATGTAAACACTTTGGACTGTTTCTTTGTATGTTGTGTTTCACTTCTTGAAAGCTGTTTCAATTTTCCAGGAATCTTCTGCCAAATCATGTTTGCTCTTCTCAAGGACCTGTCCTGGAGAACTGGGTCGAGCTTCTGTCCCGGTATGTACCATCAGTTGCAGCTCAGAACGACTTGGTTATCTTTGTCTGTAAGAAGGGTAAATGTTCTAATAATTTCTAATACATCCCCCCCACTTGCGACTTTTGTCACAAGGCCATTTGCATCGCAGATTGATCCTGAAGTGAGAACCCTGAGCTAATGTAACTGCATGAAAGGTGACCTGTTCCTCCGCAGTGACACTCGGGCTGAAACAGGAGCGGGGCACCTGAGCACTCTCTTGGGAAGCACCGTGGAAGGCAGAGTTTGTGGAGTGGTGGGGGAGAAGGAGGGGGAGAGTGATGTGTGTGGTGCAGAAGGAGCAGGAAGTTTGGGCCGCAGGACATTCCGCCTGCGCCGCTGCCCCGCAATGGTTGGGCGTGTCCACAGGGTTCCGGACCTGGCAACGCGTCCGCTGAGCTCCCTGACACTTGGAGAGCTCACCTGGGTGGTGTCAGGTTCCCGCTGGAACTCTGCAGCAGGCTGTGCTCCAAGAGGGATCAGCAGCAGCTGAAAAGACCTCTGGACATCCCCATTTTCTGCTGCTAGGAAGGAGCAATGAAGCAAGTGGAGCAGTTGTGGTTTTTCTGTCTCCTGGTGGATTTTTTAGTTTCCTTTGACCCTACAGAGGCAATGTCTGTGACGGCCTCTGTAAGTTTGTTCTATTTCAACAGCACCAGCAACATGACGGTTGAGCGCTGTGAATGTGGCCTCTATGGCTTTCATTCTCCTCTACTGAGTGCCCAGGGGCTCGTGAGCATTCCGACATCTGATAATTATCAAGCCTGCGACAAAAATACTCAGTTCACCGTCACCAGCGAGCCGTGGATAGCACTGATCGAAAGAGGCAATTGCAGTTTTACTGAAAAAATTCGGGTGGCAACCAGAAGGGGTGCAACAGCAGCCGTGATCTACAATTCACAAGACCAAGGCAACCGCCCTCTCACGATGTTGCATCCTGGTGAGTAAAAGAGGGTGAAGTGGTGAAACCCAAGCCTTTCTTTCTCTGCAGTTCGGTTCAGGACAGCCCAGCTGGGCTCTGAGGAGGCAGGGGTGTTTGTGGGTGATGGTTGCTCTCATCCAGAAATTCGATGGGGAAAACAATGTTTTATGCAACTTGAGCCTTGACTTTGGTGCTTATTAAGAAAGACCCTGCTGTTATGTTCTGAGCTTGGTGCGGTGTAGGCAAAGGGTTGAGTCTCTGGAGTTAGTACTGCTTTTCACTTGTACAGCTTGCAAATTATTTTAGAGAGTGATGTAGAGAAAGCCTTAGTGTGTGCTTTGGAGGCACCAGTTTATTTTAGGAGGTTAGTGGACACAAATGAACCTACAAGTGTCTGCAGCATAGGTATGTGCTTTGCAGTTTGCAAGCTAGCTATTGCTTTTCTTTTTTCTTTACTAAATTGTTCTAATTCTTTCTGAACAGTGCCCAAGCTCAGCCTCTCCTATGATTCCCCAATTCCCTTATGAAAGTTTAGACAAAATTATTATTATCCCCTATTCCGGCCCTAATAGCTCTGGTTCTGTCACGAGGAGGGATCTGAGAACGTCACTGTGATATGCTTGGCTTTTATTTCTGTGTGTACCTCCAGGTCAATCTGTCTATTAAGCATTTTAGTACAAAGTACACATATATGTATCCAATTCCTTGAACTATACTTTGGTGGAGCTGCTCCAGGAATGCTTTGATTTGAGGCTTGTTTGCCTGATAGGAACTGCACAACACAATAAAAAATGAGCTTTATGGCACTCAGAGTGCAATGGCTTGTTTTACTGCCTCAGCTCTGACTCTCCTGATGCCATGACAGAGTCAGCGCTTGCAAATGGTGCTTAATTCTCCAAGAATGCTTGGAGAAGTTGTTTGTTTGTTTGTTTGTTTTCCCCAGCAGAGTTGTACAGAGGGGTGGGGGAAGAAATCTCCCATTTGTCTGGAATCTGCTATGGTGGCATCTCCCAGAGAGGTCTGAGGAGACTTTGTAGTTAATCCTCTCTGTCGTTTGGGTAGGGGACCTTTGCAGATGAGATGCCCTATGAGATGCAGAGCAGTGAAAGAAAAATCTGCCCTGCTGCTGGACAGCGATCTGAGGGCTCCTGAAGAAAGCAGGAGCAGCAGCCTCTGGAGTTAAAAGATGGTTCTTGGTTGGGGCCAGCCCTGATGTCTTCAGCCATCATCTGTGTTCTCTGCTACTGTGCAGGCTATAGGGATCCCAGCATCCTGACTGTGTGTTAGGCCTTGGTGGGAAATTTCCCACCATCCTTATCCCTTCCTGCTAATTTTACCATAAAATCAACAGAGCTTTCCAGCCAACCTTATTTTCTGTTACAACAGTACAATATTACCTGTGTGTTTCACATTATAACACACCCACTTAGTCCTACCAGAATGAAATAGTTTGTTCTGGGCAAAGTCCAGCTGTGCAGGAAACAAGATAATTTAAAGTTGCAGAGTAGGAACAAGGAGAAAAAATTCCCATCATGATGACTCCTTCCTCATCCTCCACTGCAAGTCCTTTTACCTGGTAATCAGTTTTTCCTGATACTGGGTATTGGTTTGTTGTTACACACACACACCCCTGAGATAAAACTGATTTATTAGGAGCTTTTACTGCGGGAAGTTTTAGAGGTCAAAATATGAGTAACTACTTTCCCATTCCTGTCTGATTACACAAATCACTGGTGGGGAAATCATCATCAGCGTCATCGAATTATCATAGAATGGTTTCAATTGGAGGGCATCTTAAAGATTATCTATTTCCAACCCCCCTGCCATGGTCAGGGACACCTTCCACTAGGCCAAGTTCCTCAAATCCCGTCTAACCTCTCCTTGAGCAATACCAGGAATGGGGCAGCCACAGCTTCTCTGGGCAACCTGTGCCACGGCCTCAGCACCATCCCAGGAAAGAATCTTTCCCCAATATCCAATCCAACCCTACCCTCTGTCGGTGTGAAGCCATTCCCCCTTGTCCTAACGCTGCTCTAATCGGGAAGATTCTCTACAGGTGTTTGTGTCTTTGCGTGAGATTGGGCTGATCTCACGGTGCAGAGACTCCGCTCGTGCCGGGAGGAGCGCGCCTCTTTAGAGTAGCTCCAGCACTGGATTTTCTCCGGGAAGGAAATGGAATATGCGTCTATACTAACAGCTTTCCAGCGCCGCTCCGCGAGACGTCCGCGGGAGCTCCGGGAGCGATGCGGTTTTGGGCTCCGCGGGTTTTTTGGGCTCCGCGGGGTTTTTGGGCTCCGCGGGTTTTTGGGCTCCGCTCTGTGCGCGGCCGGCAGGGGGCGCTGTGCCCCCGGCGCCGGTCCCGTTTTCCCTACCCGGCCTCGGGAAACCGGGAGAGACCGAAACGATGGAGTCAAAACGCTGCTCCTGCTGCCCTTTGGCCGCCGGTCCAACTGAGCAGCTCAGCTAAATTTGCAGGTGTTTTCTGAGGGGCTTTCTCCGAGGCGTTTACTCAGAGGCAGTGAAAACCAACTTTCGCCTGGTTAAAGCCGCCGTGACTCGGGAAAAGCAGGACCGTGGCAGAACTCCTGTAATAATAATGGCCAGTCTTCACGAGTGAAGATCCGGGGAAGGTCTTTCCACCTTCCAGCCTGCGCATTGGATTTTTTTAGGTGAGACACAGTGTGCGCGGAACTGAGCCCACCCTTTAATCCTAAGGTTCATCTGCCGGGGCCAAGCGAGCTTGGACGGTGGCAGCGAGGTCCTTAGGACGTAGGTGGGTTGCCTTTAAGGGCTAACGAGCCCCACCTGCCCGGGAGTGGCCCTGACCGGGAATCGAACCCGGGTCTCCGCGGTGATAGCGCGGCGCCTTTACCACTGGACCACCAGGGGCTCCAGGCAGAACTCCTGTACAGCAGGGACAAACTGTCACCTCAGCTCGGCTGTAATATAGACATTATTAGCAAACTTGACAGTAACTGAAAGAAATGGCTGTGGATCTGCATTTCCTTCCAACTTGTTCCCAGGACATTCTGTAGCTTCCAAGCCTAATTTTTATCTCAGAAGAATTTACTGTAAACTAAATTTAGTGTAAAGAATTTAGAATTTAGTGTAAACTAAATTCTTCTGCTTGTTGTCCAAGAAAATCATCTCCTTGCTTTGTGTCTCTGATGCAGCGGGAGGTGCAGACTCAGAGGGCACAGAGCCCTTCACTGGCAGGAGCTGCCACTGCGAGGAGAGGCTGCAAGAGCTGGGGTGGGACCATCTGGAGAGGGCTTGAGGGATTCTCATCCACGTGTACAAATTCCTGATGAGACCAGGGAGAGTAAATATGATGGAGCCAGGCTCCTCTCAGTGGTGCCCAGTCAAAGCAACAGAGGGCACAAGCAAGAAATTACGTAAGAAAGAACTTTTTTTCACTTCTTTGAGGATTGCCTGAGTTTCAGGCTGTGCTGGTGTGAAACACTCCTTTTGTGCTCGTGGCATGGCAGGAGAGTAGAGCTGGTTGCTGGCCCTTCCCAGACTGGTGCACAGCAGAAGAAAAGAAGTGGTTTTGTGAGTGGGCCTCTCCCTGGGTAAATGCCATAAAAATGCAGCAAAGGCTGTTGCTGCATTGCACTGCTTAGTTTTAAATATTTTAAACGTACAGCATTAGTCATTTCATCCTGCATGTTAGGACTTCCTAACTCTGAAAGAAATATCAGAAGGGTGTGGAATAAAGATCATCGGCTTAAGGCATTAAAGGATATAATTTTATTTTACACAAGCATTGTTTGAAATTTTTCGTGGCAAAAGCTGGGAATGAGAGATATTTACTCTTGCAGTGTGTAGCTGGAGAATATTCAATGCTTGTAGTAGACTTGGAATTTTATTACTCTGGATCAATCCATAGGGGCACCACCCCCCTAAGTTAAACTGGACTTAATACGGTGACTTCAGCTGCTGGAGTGCTGCAGTGTTAGTATGTGGTTCCACCACTCTGCCTGTCTCCCTCCTCCCTCCCAAACCAGCATTGTCACACTGGAGCAAAGGTCCTCTCTGCAAAGAAACCTGCTGGAAGGTTTATTTCACCTGGTGTTTATTGACACAGATAGAAAACCAAAATATTTTTGATCTGAGTCTGTCAAAGCGTGTCAATTTTGCCACACTAAGCCAAGATACTGAGTCTTGAGTCCTGCACAGTGTCACAGGAATCACCTTTCTTGCTGCTGTGTATTGCCACAGCTGAGGGTAAAGTGCTATTGGAGCACATTCCCTACCTGTAGAATTCGTATCCAGCCAAAGCACTGTACTTTAAAATCTTATGTTTGCATTATGTTTCTATTCTTGAGGATGGTTCTTATGTTTCCAGAATTAATTTCAAAATAAAACAGGGGAAGGCAAACTGTATGTAGCTAATGGTACTTTTGAGTGTACAAAACTTGCTAAGTCATAGGTCTTAGAGGTAAGATCAATTTGGAATTAATGTGCTGTAGAGCTAGTGCAACATGGAAAAGTGAAGACTATCAATAAATGAATTAATATATGTAAACACCTTGGACTGTTTCTTTGCATGTTTTGTTTCACTTCTTGAAAGCTGTTTCAGTTTTCAGTTTTCAAAGAATCCACAGTCATGTTTGCTCTTCTCAAGGACCTGTCCTGGAGAACTGGGTCGAGCTTCTGTCACAATATGTGCCATCAACTGCAGCTTTTCTTGGCTTTCACCACTGGGTTTGTGGCACAACTTTTGCAGAAAACCATGAAAAAGGACTTGATAATTTTACAGCTTGTTCTTTATTTTCATTGTGAACTGTAGAGTCCACATTGATAAGGTTTTCATTTTTTTCTGTTCTAATCTAAGAAAACAAGAGGTGATATCAGTAATTGTTGGGAATATGATCCTGGCTGAATTCAGAAAAAGAGTCTCTAGAGCCTGCAGGCAAAAATGGAGAATTGTGTGATAATCATTCGAACACCTCAATGTGCACCTTGAAAGTAAACTAGAATGTGAAAATGGGCTGACAAAGGTAGTTTGCTTCTGT